GTGCGTGTTTTGAACAGGATGGCAACCTTCGACAACGCCGAGGTTACCCAGCAGCTCTTCGCGTGCATCGCAGCCCTTCAGGAGGAAATGCGAGCGGATCGCGAAGCGTGGCGAAACGAGTTCGAGCGAGTAACTCGACTCGCCGGAGCGCAGCACGAAACGACAATGGCGACAACGCAGCAGTCGCAGCAGTTTCTCGAGGCTCCAAACCGCGCCCACCTGAGCCGTTCGATCCGAGCGATCGAAACTCCGACGCCCGCAGATGGATCGCCGGGATGGAGATCTACTTCGCAGCCGTCGGATGGAGCTCGCCAGTCTGGGACGGACAACGTGTACGATTCGCGGCGACACTGATGCGAGGGCCGGCACTCGAGTGGATTGGCGGCAACAGTACCTTCATCCATGGTGAAGCCACGTGGTAGCAGTTCCGCGCCGACATGCTGAAACGATTCGAGCCGATAAATTCGAGTTTCCTTGCCCGGGAAAAGATTCATCGACACCGACAGTTCGGGAGTGTAGCACAGTATACGCAGCAGATGGAGGAATTTTATAACCGCATTCCCGATCTGATCGACATGGGTAACGCCCGTCGTCCTCTGCATGGCTACCTTGTCAAGCAGGGTGGTACTTCTACCACCCACCTTTGAGGGGGGGAAGTGTGAGAGTACGACCCCGTTACACCACTTGGCCTTTTCTTATTTCCTTCCTCTTTCATTTCTCTTTTGCTTTCCTATTCTTTCTTTTTCATTAACCTTTGGTTTATCTTGCTATTATAGTTATATCACCGACCAGGCATGGGATGTACTGGGCGCTATATCTGGCGTAATCGTGCCGTAATCCCTCAAAGCCAATAGCCTCGCGTGGCTATACGCAGGGTGATTCTATCTTCTAGAAGGGTCTATTCCCCTAGGATAAGATAAACCTGGTTACCTGATGTACTCTGGAAGTATAAAAGGGCCTTGTACTGATCAATAGTGCAACCTTTCCTCGAGACATTCGATCCTGTGACAGACTCCAAAAGAAGCAGACAACTGTGGAGATTATACCGGTATCGGACAACTTGGGGAAAAATTGAAGGAGTATGGAAAGAAGCTGACCTTTCCACAAAGTTAACGTCCTCTCCCGACACCAGCCCACAACGACCACCCGTTCCCAAGGGAAGGCGTCGGTGGAGCTGAAGCAGCTCAAGAGGAAGCTGGGGGTCTACAAGAAGCTGCACAAACCCCGAACTCCTCTTATGGATGCGTCCAGTTCTTCGGCATCAATGACGCGCACAATCATCAAGGAAACTCCGGGCCCTGGAGAAGAGTCGTTTTCCAAGCAGCCTCGGCCAGCTGCCAGCTCAGGAGTAGATAGCAACACAAAGGTGTGTACGGACTATTGGGATGTACCCTATGACCTATCAATGAAACTATCTTTGAGTACTCCGAGCAACGCCTGCCCCTCGTGCTCGAGGTCGTCTGCAAAGGACAACGCCTCCAAGCACTCGTGGACAGCGGAGCATCGTTCACTATATGCGACAAGGCAACCATCGACGACTTCGAGAAGAGTACAAGCCTTCAGGATGTTCTGCAACGATGGTAGACGGCAGCAAGTTACCAGTACACGGCGAAGCAGTGCTACACCTACAAATCGGGCCACTGCGCTGGAGACCTGCGCTCCCCATCACCAACATCAAAGACTTGACTTGATCTTCGGGCGAGACTTCCTGAAAAGATTCAACCCCGAGATCAACTGGGTGAACCGCACCGCAAGCATCTACAACAATGGACGGAGAGTACAGCTACCCAACTGGGATGATACAGGAGATATCCCAGTGGAGACACTCGCACGATTTGAGAAGGACGTGAAGTGAACCGACACCGCGTTCCTGGCGATAGCAATAGAGGTGGAGAATGACGAAGAGAAAGCCTCGGAAACTCCAGAAAAAATCAAGGACTTACTGAAGGAGTTCCAAGACATTCTTCCTGACGATCTTCCAAACGAGCTACCGCCATACCGAACGCATCAACACGAGATCGTGGAGGAACCGGGTTCGAAGCTGACCTTCCGAGCACCATACCGGCTCAGCCCTACGGAGCTGACCGACATGAAAAAACAGATCGAGTATCTCCTAGCCAAAGGACTCATCCGGCCATCCACTTCGCCATACGATGCCCAAGTACTCTTCACACCGAAACCGGACGGAAGCCTACACATGTGCATCGACTACCGAGCTCTTAACAAGCAAACCATCAAGAATAAATATCCGATACCGCGAATCGATGATCTGCTTGACCAGCTTCGGGGAGCTACGGTATTTTCCAAACTGGATCTGCGGTCCGGATACTGGCAGATACGGATGGCGGACAACTCTATCCACAAAACTGCTTTCCGAACTCGGTATGGATCGTACAAGTATGTGGTAATGCCATTCGGACTCACCAACGCACTGGCAACGTTCCAAGCCGAAATGAACCACATTCTACGACCACTTTTGGACGAGTGTGTGGTGGTGTACCTGGACGACATCCTCATCTATTCGCGCGACATGAAGCAACACGTCGAACACCTGCGACGCGTCTTCGAGATTCTTCGACGAGAACGGTTCTACGTCAAACTGTCCAAGAGCGAATTCTCCCTTGAGAAGGTCCAGTTCCTAGGACACATAGTGAGCGCTCAAGGAGTTCACGTCGACCCCAAGAAAATCGAAGCCGTACGTATGTGGAAGACACCCGAGAACGTGAAGGACTTGCAGCAGTTCCTAGGCTTCGCTAATTACTACAATAGGTTCGTGCCACAGTATGCAAAACTCGCAGCACCACTCACGAATCTGCTGAAGAAGAACACGCCCTACAAATGGGAATCGAAGCACCAGGAAGCCGTGGAGCAGCTGAAACAAGCACTCACGACCGCCCCGGTACTCATCTTGCCAGACCCGGAACGCGACTACATAATCGAAGCTGACGCCAGTGACCAGGCAGTGGGAGCAGTCTTGATGCAAGACCAAGGAAATGGACTGCAACCAATCGCCTACCTCAGCAAGAAACTGCACGGGGCAGAACTAAACTACCCGATACACGACAAGGAGGCCCTTGCCATCGTCATCGCCTTCAAAGCGTGGAGATGTTATCTTGAAGGACGAAGAACCACCGTCTACATCGACCACTGCAGCCTGAAATACTTGAAGACACAACCCAACCTTTCCAGGCGGCAGGTCCGGTGGATCGACTTCCTCGAGACACACTTCCACTACGATGTCGTGTACAAGCCCGGCCACAAAAACAAAGCAGACACCCTCAGCCGGCCTGCACACGTTGCCGCTATTCAGATCGAAGGGATGAATCCACTCCTCAAGGGACTCTTTACACACGGGTATGCCATCGACCCCGAAATTCCCTTGGCAGAGAAACGACATCTGCTACAGTGGGACAGTGACATCACGTACCGGAAAGGATCAACAAAAATTTGGGTACCCAATTACCCTCCTTTGCGCCATTTACTACTCGAAGAATACCACGACGTCCTATACGCCGGACACTTCAGTAGCAACAAGACACTGACCGGTATCACAAGACACTACTACTGGCCCCATTTGGCAGAGGATGTTCAGAAGTTTGTCACCTCGTGTGATACATGTCAACGGATGAAGAGCAGCAAGCAGAAAAAGGCGGGACTACTGCAGCCTCTTCCTGTCCCAGAACAGCCATGGCAAGTGGTTAGCCTGAACTTCATCACCGGGTTACCACCAACCACCAGTGGTCATGACGCAATCCTTGTCGTCATTGACAAGTTCTCCAAAATGGGACACTTCATCCCGACACACAAGACGGCACGCACCGAGGAGACAGCACAACTCTTCGTTCGTTACATCATCTCACAGCATGGCATTCCAACCACACTCATCTCCGACCGAGACCCCAAGTTCACCAGCAAGTTCTGGAAGGAACTTATGTCTCTACTCGGGACCAAACTCGCCATGTCATCTGTTTACCATCCGCAGACAGACGGACAAACCGAGCGCCTCAACCAAATTGTTGAGCAACTCCTCCGAGCAGCCTGCAAGGACGAGATCTCCAAATGGGACCTGCACATGCCCGTTCTAGAGTTTGCTTACAACAACGCTACACATGCCGCTACTGGACAGACGTCATTCTTCCTCTGCTACGGACGCCACCCACTCACACCACAGAAACCGACAACATCCGCTACAGTCCAACCTGCACATGATTTCATCACAACCATGCATCAGCTTTGGGATCGGACCCACAAGCGCCTCCTCGACTTTCAGCAGCAACAAAAGTGCCAGGCCGATCGCCATCGCAACGACCACACCATCACGGTGGGAGACCAGGTGCTTCTTGACACCCGCAACCTGGACATCAGCCACCTCCCATCTAAACTTCGACCTCGCTTCTGCAGGCCTTTTCTCGTTGAAGCACAAGTCACTCCTGTTACCTTCCGCTTACGTCTGCCTGCCACCTGGAAGATTCACAACGCCTTCCATGTCCAACTTCTGAAGCCCTATCGGGATCCGAACACGATCTTCGTCGGACGCCAACCGCCGCCGCCGTCACCCGTCCTCGTCCAGAATGAACCCGAGTACGAGGTCCAATCCGTGCTTGCACACCGCCGACATCGGAATGGCGCCGTGGAGCTTCTCATCCGTTGGAAGGGTTATGATCCTTCTGAGGACAGCTGGGTACCTGAGTCCGACATGGGTAACGCCTGTGGTCCTCTGCATGACTACCTTGTCAAGCAGGGTGTTACTTCTCCCACCCAGCTTTGAGGGGGGGAAGTGTGAGAGTACGACCCCGTTACACCACTTGTCCCTTTTCTTATTTCCTTCCTCTTTCATTTCTCTTTTTATCCCACCTCATTTACTTTCCTCTTCTCCATTCTCCATTAACCTTTGGTTTATCCTGCTATTCTAATTATATCACCGACCAGGCTTGGGATGTACTGGTGCGCTATCTAGCGTAATCCTGCCGTAATCCCTTCAAGTCAATAGCCTCCGGCGGAGGACGTTGCTATGGTTGAGAATAGCAAGTAGGAGTTGTTCTCTGCTAGAAAGCATGAGTTTCCAAGCAGGAATTCACTAGAAATTGTGATACATTTCAAGTGCAACTCACCCCTATTTAAACAGACGAGAACAAACGAGCAAACAAGGTAGAAGCATTTCGCGCTTCGGTATTTGCTGCGGTCCGCGTTGAAGGAAGTTGACCTCAGCTTCGTAACCGAGTGGTGCACCGAAATTCGGTACTCTGTCGCTTGCTTGTCGAATGCGCACCGGTTGTAGTTGGATGGTTGGATAGGAGTGGCAAAATCTGATTGGTTCCACCTGTTTGGGACTAGGGGAGGTGCACCAAAGTTTCTTGGTGCTTCACCACTCTCTAGGGAGGTGTACCAAGGTCAACTCGCCCTTTGACCACCTCCAACCACTTTACTTGGTCCTGATTGGACCCCAATCTCAAAGGACCCCACAAATTTGTCACTCTAGGTTGGTGGTCAAGCACCACCCAATTTCGACCAATCTGATTGGTTGAAATTGCCTAGAGGCGAATTTCGCCCAACACCATTTTACTCCCACGAAATCCCACTGGACTCCCGCGATAACTCATGAGAACTCACGAGAACTCACCAAACTCTCCAAACTCTCGTGAGAACTCACTAAGCTCTCGTGAGAGCTCACTAAACTCTCGTGAGAGCTCACTAAACTCTCGCTAAATAACCTCGCCTCACTGAATCTTCCGAAATCTCGCGAACTCTCGCGAACACTCACTGAAGTTCAAGCATATAACTCAATCACGCGAAATCCTCTCAAACACTCGCCAAATCTCACGAGTCAAATTTTCCGCCACAAACAAACCACTCTAACAACCTCCCCTGTGGTTTGTTTGATGGCGCTTCTCCTCCCACTTAAATACTTCCCTTGCCGCTCTCGTGCAACGCTGTAATATTTCTCATGCCCACAAGCTCCTTGCAATGCTCGAAGTTTTCTTTCGGCAAGACTTTGGTGAGGAAGTCCGCCGGTTGCTCCTTCGTCCCCACATGCTCAAAGACGAATGCCTTCTTTTGCAGTTGCTCCCGCACCCAATGGTACTTCACGTCCATGTGCTTGGTGCGCCCGTGCCAATTGTCGTTTTGGGCTAATGCAATGGCCGATTGGCTATCGCTTTTGATGGTGATCGGTCCCTCCATGTTGATATCCATCTCGTTGAGTAGACGCCGCAGCCACACACCCTCTTGGCATGCATAGAACAATGCCATGTACTCGGCTTCGGCGCTTGAGAGTGCAATGTCATCAAGCTTCTTCGCTTGCCACATGATGGCCGTTCCACCAAGGAGGTAGACATAGCCGTATGCCCCCCTCCTCGTCTCCTTGTCCGATGCATGTGAGGCATCGGCATATCCCACAAGCTCAAGGCTCTCTTCTCCTCCTTCAAACAACAAGCCTTCATCCTCCCTTTGCACAAGGTAGGTGAGGGTCCTCTCCATCTCCTTCCACTTCCTCCCTTCGGGTTTGAGAACGTTTTGCCCCAAGAAACTTGCCGCATAGGAGATATCCACACGTGTGCACGACACGGGGTACATCACCGACCCCACCATGCATTGATAGGCCTTCAAGGCCTTCTCTTGGCTGCCCCATGCGTCCATCTCTTCTTCCACATCAACCTCTTTGCCCGCCAAGCTGCTGAGGGGTGTCACCATGAGTTTGGCTCCCAAATGGTCACCAAAACGCTCCTTCAACCGATGAGAGTACTTCTTTTGGTAGAGAAATAGCTTCCTCTCCTCTCGGCTCCGCTCCAAGTTCATTCCAAGGAAGAGGGATGCCCTTGGAATTTGCTTCACGTGGAAGACGCTTGCAAGATGTTTGCACACGCCTTCTACTTCTTCCTCAAGAGCTCCCGCCACGAGAATATCGTCCACATAGAGAAGGAGGAAGACCTTCTCTTTCCCTTCTCCCCTCCAATAGAAAGCTCGGTCACTTTGGCTTTTCTCAAAGCCACCCTTAATCAAATGCTCATCCATGGCTTTGTACCACTCACGTGGGCTTTGCTTAAGGCCATAAAGAGCTTTGATGAGCTTGCATTTGCGGTTGGTGCCGTCTTCACACCCGGGGGGCTGCTCCATGTAGATTTCCTCTTGCAACTCGCCGTAGAGGAAAGCATTCTTGATGTCGAGTTGCACCAAGTGGTAGTCCCGAGCGGCTACCACCTTGAGCAAAGTCCTTGCCGTTGTAAGCTTGCTCACGGGTGCGTATGTTTCAACATAATCCACTCCTTCCACTTGAGTGTAGCCCTTCGCAACGAGCCTTGCCTTGAAGCGCTCGAGTTGACCCAAGTCTCCCGTTTTGATCTTGAAGATCCACCTCACTCCAACCGGCCTCCTCCCTTCGGGAAGCTCCACAAGTACCCATGTCCCCCTTTCCGCCAAGGTATCTAGCTCCTCTTGAATGGCTTTCCTCCACTCCTTGTGATATGGCCCCGAAAGTGCTTCTTCAATGGTGACCGGTTCATCGGGTAGATTGTATTTTGCTCGTGTTGCCTTGGAAACTAATGCCGTTGCCGAGATGGTGAGGAGTAGGTGGGTATGGATGTCCTTGAAGCACGTCATGATGGCGTTGGCATATTGAGGGCCAACCACGTTTGGATTCGGCTTCTTGATGCGTCGTCCTCTCCCCATCCTCTCCTCCTCCGGGTCGGGTTCGGCATCCTTTGATGTTGACGTTGCCTCATTATCCATCTCCTCTTCTTCCTCTTGTCCAATTAAGATGGCTCCTTCCTTGAGAAGCCCTTCAATCTCTTCCACCTCCTTCTCATTCTCCTTAGAGCCCATGTGCCTCCAAGGTCCACTTGATTCCGTGGTACTCTTAGCTCCCTCCATGGGCTCATGCTCCTCCTCGGCTTCCAAAACTTCCACCTCATTGCTTTCAGCTCCCACACCGTTGTCCTTGTCGTTGGGTGCCTCGGAAGTCTCCACACTCTCCTTGGGGTTCGGAGGTGAGGCGTTATGCTCCCATGCTCCGTGGAACACAACCTCCTCCAAATCGGATTCAGCTCCAAGTCCCTCCATTTCGGCTTCAAAGAGTGATGTCTCGTTGATTGGAGAAGTTGTATGCATGCGGTTCACCGTGTCGTCCTTCCTTCCTTTCTTCCAAGTCATGTAGTTGACTTCTTCATAGAAGACGCCATCACGTGTAGCCACCAACTTCCCCGTCTCCACATCACGCACAATCCATCCCTTGCTCACGGTAGATGGTCCCAAGTGAACGCCCCACTTGGTCCTCGAGAGAAGCTTGTGATCCGGTCCCGTCGGCTCACGGTATTGAACCATGCATCCCCACACCCTAAGGAACCCAAGGTTGGGCTTCCTTTTATAGAAGGCTTCATGGGGGGTGATGTCCGCCGCTAGTCCTTTAGTCGGCATACGGTTCTTGAGCCAACATGCCATCGCCACCGCATCTCCCCAATAGTCCAAGGTCAACCCACTCTCGGAAAGCATGCTCCTCATGCCCTCGAGTAGTGTGCGGTTGACCCGCTCCGCAATGCTATTGTGTTGGGGTGTGTAGGGAATGGTAAGTTGGCGTCGGATCCCTTTTTCACGAAGGAAGGCATCGAATGCCTTGTTGACGAACTCTCCGCCGTTGTCGGATCGAAGGACCTTGAGTAGCTTGCCACTTTGCCGCTCCGCTTCCGCTAACCATTCCTTGAAGCACTCAAGGACTTGAGTTTTGTCCTTGATCTCCGAGACCCAAGTGTTCCTCGTGCCTATGTCGGTGAAGGTCACGAAGTACTTGCTCCCATGCCGAGATGCAACCCTCATGGGTCCACACACATCCGCCGCTACAATCTCCATCGCCTCATATGGCTCCTCCTTAGTTCCATGTTTCGGATGAGGGGCCTTCTTGTTCTTCCCCTCCACACATGAGGTGCATGTTGACACGTCCACACCATTGTCTTCCTTTAGCTCGACTCCCGTGACCATCTCCTTTTTGAAGAGTTCTTTGATCCGAGAAGAGCTCGCATGCGCCATCCTTCGATGCATGATGTTGAGGTCGACCGACTTCGGTTTTGCCGCTACCATGAGTGCTTGTTGCTGCCACTCATGCCCATATGCTTCTTCCATCTTGGAAAGAAGCTCCTCCCTTGCTTTCTTTCCTTCTTCGGGCTCGTCGAGGTATGTAACCTTCGCATCCGGCATGGGTTTCTCCATCACCCGCATCTCATACAACCCTTGCTTGCGTTCTCCCTCGGCAAGCATCTTCCAATTGGATCCAAACACCCAAAGCTTCCCGTTGTCGCTGAAAGTCTTGCACCCACTCCCATCAAGTTGGGTTTGACTTATGAGGTTGAGGGAGAGCTTGTCAACGAAGAGTACGCTGTCCAATTTCAGCTCCCCAAATGGACTTTGTAGCACCATGTCGCCTTCCCCTTTCACCTCAAGTTGGCCATCATCACCAAGAAGTACGTGAGGCACGGTAGACATACGGAAGTTTTGTAGCCACGCCGCCCGGTTGGTCATGTGTTGCGTGCATCCGCTATCCATGAACCACGCCTTGCTTTGAAGTCCCTTGGCAAGGAGACACGCCGATGAGGCGCGGGCCACATTCGCCTTGTGTGCTCCGCCCATTATAGCGTCGTTCTCCTTTGCTTTCTCGGCTTCCATGGCGTTGGCCTTGGCGGGAGTTGACATCTTCTCTTGTGGCCATGCTCCCCTGAAATTCTTGCTATTCGGGTTAGAATAGCAATCCATTGCCTTGTGCCCGTACTTGTTGCAATGGTTGCAAGTGCCGGGGAAGGTTCCGCGTCCGCGTTGACCTTCTCCACTCGTTCCACCGCCATGTTGCACCCTCCTTCCCTTGAAGTTCGGACTTTTGGGGTTGGAGAAGCACTCGACCGCCTTGTGCCCTTTCTTCCCGCAATGGAAGCAAGCACCCATCGGTTTTCCGGCTCCAACGACATTGACAAGCGCCGGGTTTTCGTCGAGAAGCTCTTCCAAGAGCTTCTTTCGGTTCTTGGTGTTGGTGCGGATGAGCTCCAATGATTGAAGCGTTTCCGCCAACTCCGTCAATGTCTTCGGTCGGCTACACGAGACGTTGCCCTTGTGCGCCTCCCACTCGTCCGGTAGTCCGCCGATGACATAGCTTATCATTTGCTTCTCGGTCTCGGGTACGCCCATCGCCTTCAACTCGTCTCCATAGCTCTTGGCACGATTCACGTACTCCGCGATTGTTTCGTTGGGCTTCAAATGGAGTAAGATGAGTTTTTGGCGCACGTTTGCCATGTTCGCCTCGGTCTTGCCCATGTAGAGCGAGTCCATGTGATCCCACCCGAGTTGCGCGGCGTTGACCTCATCGACGAAGTCGTCCATCCCGATGGCGATTCCGTCCGCCACCGAGTTGCAAAGTTGGAAGAGAGCGTGCTCGCTCTTCTCCTTGTACACCGCCTTCTCCTTATCCGAAGCCGTTTTGTCCGGTACTACGGCATGTTGGTCGTAGTACTTCCACAATCCAACCTCCTTGGCGCGCCGAATGAACTTGAGCCGCCACGTGCTATAGTTCATGCCAACAAAGCGTTGCGCCTCGGGGAGATTGATGGTCGGCTTGGGCACAACTTGTGCCTTGGCCAAGGCTTCTTGGCTCTTGGCTAGAGCCTCGAGAAGACTTTTCAGCTCCGACTTATCAATGCTCACGGTTGAGCTCGAACTCGCCTCATCCGTGCCATTCCCCATGACTAGACGTTGCTACGCCTCTCTACTCGTCTATCCTCAAGCCACGCTACGTGAGACTATAACGAACGTGATTATAACGAGGCTCTGATACCAGCTTTAATATGGCAGCGCCTCCGGCGGAGGACGTTGCTATGGTTGAGAATAGCAAGTAGGAGTTGTTCTCTGCTAGAAAGCATGAGTTTCCAAGCAGGAATTCACTAGAAATTGTGATACATTTCAAGTGCAACTCACCCCTATTTAAACAGACGAGAACAAACGAGCAAACAAGGTAGAAGCATTTCGCGCTTCGGTATTTGCTGCGGTCCGCGTTGAAGGAAGTTGACCTCAGCTTCGTAACCGAGTGGTGCACCGAAATTCGGTACTCTGTCGCTTGCTTGTCGAATGCGCACCGGTTGTAGTTGGATGGTTGGATAGGAGTGGCAAAATCTGATTGGTTCCACCTGTTTGGGACTAGGGGAGGTGCACCAAAGTTTCTTGGTGCTTCACCACTCTCTAGGGAGGTGTACCAAGGTCAACTCGCCCTTTGACCACCTCCAACCACTTTACTTGGTCCTGATTGGACCCCAATCTCAAAGGACCCCACAAATTTGTCACTCTAGGTTGGTGGTCAAGCACCACCCAATTTCGACCAATCTGATTGGTTGAAATTGCCTAGAGGCGAATTTCGCCCAACACCATTTTACTCCCACGAAATCCCACTGGACTCCCGCGATAACTCATGAGAACTCACGAGAACTCACCAAACTCTCCAAACTCTCGTGAGAACTCACTAAGCTCTCGTGAGAGCTCACTAAACTCTCGTGAGAGCTCACTAAACTCTCGCTAAATAACCTCGCCTCACTGAATCTTCCGAAATCTCGCGAACTCTCGCGAACACTCACTGAAGTTCAAGCATATAACTCAATCACGCGAAATCCTCTCAAACACTCGCCAAATCTCACGAGTCAAATTTTCCGCCACAAACAAACCACTCTAACAGTTACACCACTTGTCCCTTTTCTTATTTCCTTCCTCTTTCATTTCTCTTTTTATCCCACCTCATTTACTTTCCTCTTCTCCATTCTCCATTAACCTTTGGTTTATCCTGCTATTCTAATTATATCACCGACCAGGCTTGGGATGTACTGGTGCGCTATCTAGCGTAATCCTGCCGTAATCCCTTCAAGTCAATAGCCTCGCGTGGCTATACGCAGGGTGATTCTATCTTCTAGAAGGTTCTATTCCCTTAGGATAAGATAAACCTGGTTACCTGATGTACTCTGGAAGTATAAAAGCGCCTTGTACTGATCGATAGTGACATGGTGAAGGACTACCCGCAGCTGAAGAAGGACTTAGCTAAGAACGGGAAGCAGTTGGGAAATGGAGATCGTCAGTAGCAATCGAGCCACCTACTGACATGACTGCATCACCCAAACGCTAACAACCCCACCAGGTTATAGTGCCGATTGAGGCTATCGACCATTCCTGACTGAATAAGGGGGGTGAACCGGCTGATCGCCCTGTGCTGGTCGAAGGAAGAGTTGGCGACACCCGCATTGAAATATTTGTTAATGGTGAGCCAAGCCACAGTTTGATGGATGTGACGAAAGCGAAGAAACTCCGATTGCAGCTGGAACGCTGCATGCTCACAATCGACGCGAGGTTGGTTGATGGCACCCCACTGGTGATTCGGGAGCGCGTGCCTCACGTGCAACTCACCTGTGGCGAAAATTTCAGTTTCACGACGAAGATGATGGCGACAACTTTGGACGAGTGCGGCATGCTGCTGCTACAACCCAAGCATCGACTGGCGGACGGGCGATTGTCGCATAAAGTGGAGTGGCGAGTGGCGACGGCTATCCAGATGGAGCAGTCAAGACTCGACAACCTCGACGATTAGCACAGTGACTATAAAGCACGCGATGATTCGAGGAGCGCAATTGTATGCCGTCCGATGGATCGCATCAACAGCTGTCGACACGCCAAACGACATCGACAAACTATGCGCAGCGGTGTTGAATGATTTGGCAACAGTAATTCAAAAGCACGCCGACATTTTTCCCGACGACCTACCAGCGGGCTTGCCACCTTAGCGGCCGCATGACCACAAAATCGAGATTGAATCCGGACCCAATGGCGGCCGACTCAGCAAGAGCTAGATGAACTTCGACGCCTGCTGGACTACCTGCTCGATAAAGGTTTCGTCCACCCGAGCACATCACGATTTGCATCTCCGATCTTGTTCACCTTGAAAAAAGATGGCGGTCTACGTATGTGTATCGACTACCGCGCCCTGAATCGGGTTACCATCAAGTCTCGCAACCCCATTCCATGTGAAAACGACCTCATCGACCAACTTCGCGGGGCCTGATTTTTCTCGAAGTTTGACCTGCGAGACGGTTACCACCAACTTCGCGTGCACGAAGCTGACTACTACAAGACAGTATTTTGCACGTGGTATCGGAGTTACGAGTACACGATTATGCCATTCGACTCAACAAATGCGCCTTCGAAGTTTCAGTTGACCATGAACGAAATTTTTCAGCCACTGCTGGATAAATGCGTCATCGTGTACCTCGACGACATCCTCGTCTACAGCACAACCCGGGAGCTGCATTTGAAGGATTTGAAAGCCGTTTTCTCTCTTCTGCTGCAGAACTGACTCATCACCAAGGGCTCTAGGTGCGAGTTTAAAAAACACGAGCTGGAGTTCTTGGGTCACGTGATTTCCATCGACGGTGTTAAAATCTACCCCAAGAAAATCGCGACAATCCAAGACTGGAAGCCACCGGCTAATCTCCGTAAACTTCAGAGTTTTCTGGGGTTTGTTAATTACGTCCGCCGTTTCATTCCGAACATGGCGGGGGTAACTTCTGCTCTCACGGATCTCCTCAAGATTGGCACGTTTTTCAGTGGGGGTAAGAGCAGCAGGCTGCGTTCGAAAAGCTCAAACTTTTCCTGACGACACCGCCGGTTCTTCAGATTGCAGATCCTCACCGTCTATTTGAGCTCATTAACGACGCTAGCGATCTGGCCGTTGACGCAGTCCTATTACAAGACTTCGGCGAAGGCCTACAACCAATCGCCTACGAGTCACGAAAGTTAAACCCGGCCGAGCGAGATTATCCTGTCCACGACAAAGAGTTACTCGCCATCGTTCACGCTTTCAAAGTCTAACGCTGCTACATGACGGTCGCTGATGTAACATTCCGAACATACCACATGTTGCTACAGTTCATCCGCGCCTAACCGACACTGAATTCGTGACAGATTCGCTAGCTCGACTACCTCGAGTCCGATTTCCACTACAAAGTCACCTACAAACGAGGGGTCAGCAACATCGCCGACGTACTGACCCGCCCCTCGGTCCACACCGCCGCAGTCCTAATTACCCAAGCTAATCCGCTACTAACTGGCCTATTTACGCACGGATACAATACCGACCCATTCTTCACCACTAACAGTCATCCCCAACTGACAGTCAAGCAAGGGGCGTATTATCTAAAATCCGGTACCAATCGGATTTGGGTTCTTGCCTACCGTACCCTACGGGAATTACTGATCCAAGAGGCACATGACTCGAATTTCTCGGGTCACTACGGCATCGACAAAACCGTCAAATTACTGAATCGTAATTATTATTGGCCCGACCTACCGACAGACGTGCAGCAATACGTCACCTCCTGCGCCATGTGTCAACGCATGAAGTCTTCCCGAGTTCGACATGCTGGATTGATGCAGCCGCTCAAGCCACCCAGCCGATCCTGGCAACAAGTGACGATGGACTTCGTCACTGGCCTGCCAGCTGGTTCAAGCGATAACAACGCTCGTCGTCGTTGACCGGTTGACCAAAATGGCCCATTTCGCCGCCTGCAAGACGACAATTACTGCAGAGCAGACAGCGAAACTGTTCCTCATGAACATCGTGCAGCTACACGGCATCCCATCAGCAATAATCAGCGATCGTGACCCACGGTTCACGTCCAAGTTCTGGAAAAAAACCTGGCAGCAGTACGGCACACGTCTGCATCTGTCTACGTCGTACCACCCGCAATCGGACGGTTAGACTGAGCGCACCAACCAGACGATGGAGTAGCTGGTTTGCACAACATGCACACACTCGGCCCAATTGGAAGACGCCCTTCCCTTGATCGAGTTTGCGTACAACAATGCCCCATCGGCCACGACTACTCATTCCCTATTCTTTGTTAATAACTGGATAGATCCGACAACCCCTCTATCACCATCGATCGAAAATCCGGCACCAAGGTCTCAGCAGTTTGTCAAGAATCTCCAACATTCTCAGCAAAAAGCCGCCGATGCCATCCTAAAGCCAACCAGAGGGCTAAGCAGCAAGCTGACCGACGACGCCGAGACTTAACACTTGTCCCAGTGCAATAGGTCATGCTCAACACCAAGAATTTGGGAATCTCTCTGCCAAATAAATTACGACAAAGATTTTGCGGACCCTTGCGCATCATTCGCATGGTGACACCTGCCACCGCCCAGCTGGAACTGCCGACCGACTGGCGAATTCACGATTCGTTCCATGTCAGTCTCCTGCGACCGTTCGTCCCGAGTGCGACCAATCTCGACCGTCAATTTATTAATTCCACGGTTAACCCAGTACCCGAGCCAACGACAGCGCCGTCCAAGATCCTCGCTCATCGCGTACGGGGACAGCGAGACACATTAGCCGTCGATTTCCTTGTACGATGGGTCGGTCGCACGAGTGACGACGACCTCTAGGTTCCCGCAGCCACGCTCGGTGAAAACAGAGTTGTCCGGGACTATTTACACCGACGACGTGTCCCGGATGTGGGTAGTCTCATCCCGGAAGGGGGGGTGGTGTAAGGAAATTCCCTTTTCCTTACTGGGCTCGACTACAGCGCTTACGCCCTCGACTCTCGGAAGTCCAGGCCCGGCCAACTTCTTCGGTCTCAACCACTTCGCGATCCCAAACCTAAACGCGCGGCGCTTCCGTAGCTTTCGCCAACCGGACTGCCCCAACCTGTTTGCGTGGTTCTCGGCTACCTCTGTTCATGCCTATAAATGCCTAGGCCCTCATTTGTATCGACCCTTTGAATCATGACTCCTATATTACACTACCTGTTATTTCTCTGATTAATTCATAACAGCAATCGTAACACCTGCTCTTGCTGTGGCACACCACCAGCTCAGAAGTCCCCCCTCGTGAACTTGCAGAATCTGGCTTCACGATTCGCGAAGGACACTTCCGCCACGCCCGCGAAGTTCCCCGCCTTCGCCATCACGCAGTGTGGCTTCTACTCCCCCCCTCCCCAGCACTCCGCGCCTGTCACCCCCACCCAAACCCCCCTCAGTTTCCCCTCACGCGGAAGATGTTGGCTGCTGAGAACCGCCGCGGATAACCCCCTTCCACCGCAGGAGCTTCCCCTCTCAAAGCCCAGCTTACCTCCCTACTTTCTCTCCTTTCTGCCGCTTCTCTCTCTCAGCCCCTTAGCAGCAATTTCTCCTTAGTCAACAATCCAACATGGTATGCACGGCTTGCGTTGGCTAGGGCTGTTGTTTTCGGCAAGGGATTAGAGCCCGTGTCACGCGTGGTGGTCTTTGGCGAAGTTTCAGATTAGGGTTGTGACTCGGGCTCGCGGATTCTCGGGCTTCCGTTGTTGTTTCTTTCTTTCGTTCTTTTTCTTTTTTTTCCGCGATACTTTTTGACCCGCAGTGTGCCACCACCGTGTGGGTGTTTCATGATCCATGCAGGCGGACACGGAGGAGGTTCAGCCGAAGAAGCGGACGTTCAAGAAGTTCACCTTCCGCGGCATCGACCTCGATGCGCTGCTCGACATGGGCAACGAGGAGCTCGTCAACCTCTTCCACGCGCGCGCGCGCAGAAGGTGAATCCCTCCCCCCACTCCCCCCTGTTGGTAGCACGCGTGCAGAAGGTATGACGAGCAACTGGTAACCAGCAACGGGTAACCAGCAACTGGTAACCAGCAGCGGGTAACCAGGAGTGGTTACATGCGTATTGCTCGACATGGGCAACGAAGAGTTCGTCAATCTCCTACACGCGCGCGCGCGCGCGCAGAAGGTAGGGCTTCCCGCGCTCCCCCCGCCCCACCCACACATCCCCCCCCCCCCCCCCTCCCCTCCTCCCTTGTTCGTATCCATGGGTAACCGGGATGGGTTACATGCTAAATGCGCGGCATGGACAACGAAGACCTCGTCAACCTCTTTCACGCGCGCCCTGAGGGTATCGCGTCGCGCTTCCCCCTGTTCTAAGCTCGCCCGCGGAAGGTATAGCTCCCCGTGTTCCCCTCAAGGTAGATCTAAGGCACCTGGCGTCACGCGCCTTATCCGCGCCGACGAACATTCGAAATCTCTTTAAGGCGTATATAGTGTCCCCGTATGTTGCCGCCTCCGCGGTTTGTCGTCTAATAAGGCGCGCGGTTGATGGCGCGCAGTTGATGTCGCGCAGTTGATGACTAGATGGGCGCGAAGGGGCGCTGGACGGGCAAGGAGGCGACGCGCGTTATAGCGGCGTGGCGGAGCAGGGGTGCGTGGCGGAGTTATAGCGGCGAATTCGGGTTATGTGCGCCACAGCGGGAACTTAGGCAAGAGCGGTGAATTAGTGGCGAAGCTTTCGGGGTTATGGTCGGAAGAGGATGGCAGGAGAGGATTAAGGGGGTATAGGGGAAGGCGGACAGGCGGCAGCGGAATGAGGATCAGGCGGCTAGGCTCACGCGGTGCTAGGCATGCTCGGATGCCATGGGGAGATGGAGGACGGAGGAGGGAACGAGTCGGACGAGGGGAGGTGAGGCGACGGAGCAGGGAAGATAGGGATGCAACAGGAAAGTGTAGGGGAGTAGACGTGGCTCCTAGTTGGTCGACTTTTCCAGTGGACTATTCAATCTCGATAGCTCAGGAGATTCGATCCGATACCGTATCCGGCTCTGTCGTAGTTGGTGTCTGTCGGACGCCTGTCGGGTTTGCTGACTCATGGAGAACTGGCACCGAGGGTTCTTGAGGCAACATGGGTTGCCTGTGGGGACATGGGGCATCAGCACGTGCAGTAATCGAGTTCTCGTGGTAGTGGAGCATCAGCGCACACGGAGATGTAGGGTACCTTCGTGTAGCCTTTCCCGTTGCTGCTTGATTCTGAGTCGACTCTTAAGGTAGATGGTGGCGGTTCAGAGGAGAAGGCGGCGAAGATGGTCAAGCGGGGGTCGAGGAGGACGGATTGTTTGGAACGGGAGAACGGGAGCCGCCGTTAGGTCCTGTGGGTAGCGCACTGTGCGCTGGCCGGTAGCGCAGCGAGGTGCTTGATCGCAATGGGGTTGAGCTTTAGTGCCCGTGCCCGTGTCCGTTCCCGTGCCCGTGCCCGTGTTGTGCTCCGTATGAGCAGTCAGCGGGTAGCGCCCTAGTGCCCGTGTCCTCCACTCCTCCCCCTTCCTCAACCCTTCTTCCGCCCCGTCCCCCTGTGTCCCTTCCCCCCGTTGCGTCTTCCCCCCCCCCCCCTCCCCCCTTTCCCCATTCTTCCCCCCTCCCCGTGCAGGTTCCGCCGCGGTCTCAAGAGGAAGCCGCTCGCTCTCATGAAGAAGCTTCGCAAGGCGGTGCGTGCACTTGAATTCGAGTGGGGTTGGTTGGGGTTGGGTGGGGTGGGGGTGGGCTACGTTTTCTGGCGGGGTGGGTGCACTTGATGTGGGGTGGGGTTGGGTGGAGTAGGGTTTCTGAGTCCAAGTGCCGTGAAAGCAAGGGAAGGGTGAGTGAGAGCCTATTGGAAGGACAGGAGGCAAGCAGAGGCATTCGCTCCGTCGGCACGTGCACGCAAGGAGCACGTGAAAGGAGTTCTAGCGCCGTGAATGCGAGGGAGAAGGAACAGGTGGGAGAAGGTGGTTGCTGGTGAAGGGCGGAACGCAGGGAGAGCAGAACCGCTCGCTTCGCGCGTGTGAAGGAGCGTCGTAAAGCGGCGGGTGCACACGGGTAGAAGGGACTCGAGGGATCCGTGCAAGGTGGGGAGTGGGGCGCAGGGGGGTGATAGTGAAACGGGTGGCGCGCTTGAGGGGAGCCGGAGTGTGGCCGGAAAGCGGGCATGGTCGAGCTGGGAGAGTAGCAAGCCGTGGTCAGCAGGGCCTGTTTAGGGTTGCAGAGAGAGGCTTGGGAGTTGCAGAGAGAGGATAGGGAGTTGCAGAGAGCCGTGAACTTTGAAGTGGGCCGTGAACTTTGAAGTCCCATCCATCCTTTACCTCCCTTCCCCCATTTCTGCCGCCCCGTGAGCAGAAGCGCGAGGCGGAGGAGGGCGAGAAGCCCGAGGCGGTGCGCACGCATCTGCGCAACATGATCATCGTGCCCGAGATGATCGGCAGCGTCATCGGCGTGTACAACGGCCGCGTGTTCAACCAGATCGAAATCAAGGTGAGGGGGGAGGGGCGAGGGGAGGTCTGTGTGTGGTGCGGGGGGGGGATAGAAAGAGAATGGAGGTGAGGGGAAGCAAGGAGATGATTCGGAGCGTCATTGGCGCGTACAAGAGCGGCGTGTTCAACCAGATCGAAATCAAGGTGAGGCGGGGGGGATGGAGGTGAGAGGCGGGGGGGGTGGAGGTGGGAGGCGGGGGGGATGGAAGTGAGAGGCGGGGGGATGGAGGTGAGAGGTGGGGATGGAAGTGGCGATTGAATGGGCCTAGTTGTCTCATTCTAGACTGCTCTTGTTTGTTTCCAACATATTCCTCATTCCTCACGCACACACACCCCTCCACTTCCCACAATTTTTTTTTCCCCGTGGGCAGCCTGAGATGATTGGGCATTACCTGGCTGAGTTCCCCCAGAGCTGCATGCCACGATTAAGATGATTGCATTAGCTTTCTTTCAACATACCATAAGCTTTCTTTCTTCCTATCCCATGTTTCTTTTTCTATTGCAGCCTGAGATGATTGGGCACTATCTGGCCGAGTTCTCACTGAGCTACAAGCCGGTGAAGCACGGTCGGCCCGGTATTGGTGCCACGCACTCCTCCCGTTTCATCCCCCTCAAGTAAACCCTCGGCGCCGTGGCATATGCTATACCCTGCTACTGCTGCTTCTGCAGCTGCCTCAGTTGCTGCCTCCAGAGATTGCTAGTTGTAGCAGCTAAAGCAAGAAGTTGTCCTGTGCATTGATTCAAGTGGATAAGTTTCGTGTTCAGTGCTTGAAAGACACACTCAAGTGCACAGAATGCCTGAAACACCAAAGGCTTTGTTGGATGGGGGCACTACCAGCGAAATCTCCACTTCATTGTTGCAATCGTGGATAAGACTCACCGCTACACTGCCTGAGTTACCAGGAATTGTTAAAACTCTCCGTGGGAGGATGAATCTGGACCACTGACTTGCGCCCCCCGAAGCCGAGGCGTCAGGCTCCCAAAACGACACCCAAGCAGCTGACTGACACCCGAACCACGCCGCAATAGGCCTGGAAGGGACGGGCGCGCGTGCGCACTGTACAGAACTCAGAACTGTTGGGCGTGAGCGACATGGCCCCGCCGCAACAGCCACACTTCTGCTTGTGGTCCGAGTTTAGTTCAGGTTCGGACTGGATAGGTACGGTGGCGTCAGGCTCGGTTCGCAAACTGTCGCTGGGCCTCGCGTGGAAGGTTTATGTGGTGTGGGGGAGGCGATTTCACCTGGTGTGGGTAATTTATCCATTTTTGGCTAAGCGCGAGAAGGAGTGCCGGAGGAACCCTTCTGCCTGTCAGGTCAATTTTCCGTTCACAGTTCCTACCCGGAATGGCCTGTTCTGGGAATGTGGGATCCTCGAGATGTGCTCGCCGTTCTTTTCGTCTTCCATGGCCTTCCGTTTCGGCAGAACCGAGGGTGGCTGACTGAAAACCAACTGAGGGAGAAACACTGGTCAGACAGGTCCTACAGAGTACGGACCTACGGACAGACAGGTCACAGGCCTTCTCACACATCTTATCAAGGGTGTTTACATTTCACACACGGCTCACAGGACTGCCTAGGTTAGTCGTTGAGCTTGCTTGCAGTCCAACACGATCCGTAGAGCCGGTAGCTCTCGCCACGCCCTGGCACCGGAGGAAGACTAAAACGCCTATTTGCTGGTCGGGAAAGCCACGTGCCTCAGTTCGTACGGGAAAAGCCATTTCGTCGGACGTTTTATCCCAAAAAAATGTCAGTTCGACCGACCGATTAGGTGATGAGTAGTCTGATTAGGGTCTCGGCCATTGCCAAGTTTAAAACAGCTTCCCGAGTCTCGTATTTCCCAAGTTTAGAAGATGACGGAGGTTCTTTTCCGGAATAGTTTCGTCTCTCCAGGATGATGTCGTCTCCATCCCCCGTTTCGCCGTGTGTTTCGCCGTGTGTTTCGCCGTGCCGTTCGCGTAACATCCGCTCGCTTTATGAAAACGTAGGTCGCTATAACGAATCCACGGCAAACCGTAATGCCGTCTCTCGCAATGCTAGCAGCAGCAGCCGACGATGACGCTCCCTCTCCTCGTTCCCCTCAGGCTGTTCCCGGTCCGCTCTCCCCAGCTCCCGGCGGCCGTCGTCGCCTCAAGCTCGACAAAGCCGGCCGGCCCGCTGTGCCTTGCGCCGCCACTAGCGGAGTCGCCAGTCGCGGGTTTTCCGGCGAGTTTGACGCCGGGGTTAATGGCGCGTTTAGTGGCCAATTTGACAGGGTATTCAGAGACGAAGGGGGAATTTACCCCCCTCCCCCGGGACTCCGCACTAGCGACCTCGAGATTGCCGCGGATGCGCTGCTAGAAGCGGACCCTGACTCCCCCACCGCCGCCGGCGCTGATGCCTCCGCTTGCGCGGACGATGACGTCAGCATCGACATTCCCGTTGACTTGGATAGACTTTTCCGAAGATGTGCTGAGCAGCAGCAAATGCTGCGCGAGGCGGAAGCAAAGGGGGTGGGGGGGGGAACTGGCGGAGGGGGAGTGGGGGGAGATGCTGCAAGGCACCTGTCTATTTTGGCGGAAGCGGGAAAGCAGAGGATAAACAAACTGTGGGCGGTTCTAGGGACAGGTGGTAAGGCTGCTCTAGGCGCAACAGGGGCTGTGTTCCCCTCGAGCGGGTCTAAGGGAAGTGATGACTCTGAGGGGAGGGCGAAGGGGAGTAGGGGAGAAGGACGCGGGGAGGAGCAGGCCCAAACGGGAGCAGCAACTGCGACTGCTACTAACGAGTACAAAATGAGGCATTTCAGGAGCAAGTCAGTGGCCGAAGGGCGAGCAGATCACGCTAGCCAATCGGGGTCTGACACGTCACCAGGGAGGAAAGGCCGTCTCAGTGTCAGGAATGACGGCGACAGCAGCAGCAGCGCTGCAAATCCCGCTCACACTTCCACTCACACTCCCACTCACTCTCACTCTCACACTCCCTCTCATGCTAAGTCCCCAGGCATTTGGAATCGAAAATCTCTCACCTTCCACCACCACCACCAGCGCTCTAAATCCGTCACCTCTGCTCCGTTGGATTGCCGGACTGAGCTCGATACGGACGAGATCGCATCACCGAGCCACAGCAGTGGGAGCAGCAGCGTGGCTGTTGGTAGCAGCCGAGGCGGGAACAGACTAGCAGCGGCAGCGGCAGCAGCACCAGGGCCATCAACGGCAGCAGCAGCAGCAGCAGCAGCAGCAGCAGCAGCAGCAGCAGCAGCAGCAGCAGGAGGAGGAGGAGGAGGAGGAGCAGCAGGAGCAGGAGCAGCTCTGGACGAATCAGTTCTGTCTGTTCTTAGGTTTGAGCCGAATGCAGCAGCTGCTAGAATGCGGGTAGAATCTGCGAGCGGCGTGTTCCTCTTATTAGACGCCACTACAGGGCAAATTCTTGCTGCTAGCGAAGTAGCTACTAGGGAGGCTGGAGCGGCGGGGCCAGAGGCAAATGAGGGAATGGGAGACGGGATGGGGAGAGAGGAACAGCAGCAGCAGCAGCAGCAGCAGCAGCAGGCGCTTGTGGGTCGGTCGATGTTTGAGTTGACTAACGGCAAGATGACTATGGCGAACTGGCAGGCAGCAGTGGGGGCGCTGCCCCCCGACACAGTCACAGACAGCGTCATCCTCAGATTTCGATTCACCCCTCTCGGTGGAGCCGCCACCTCTCTTGCTGCAATCTCTCGAAGGAGCAGTGGCAGCAGCAACAGCAGCAGTGGCAGGGGTGGTGGTGGTGGTGCTGCTGCTGCTGGTGAGAGTGCTGGTGCTGGTGGCAGGGATTGGAGAAGCAGCAACGCAGGGGGGGGAGGAGGGGCGTTGTGTGGGCGCATTGTGGATCTGCGGCTGAGACGCACTGCCTTACAGCAGGAGGAGCTGCCTCTGCTGGTGGGAAACATACGCGCCTTCAGGAGAGAGGGGGAAGGGGAGGAGGGGAGGGGGGAGGGGGAGGAAGAAAGAGGGAGGGAGAGGGCAGGGGAGGGGAGGAGGAGAAGGCTGGTGGCTGGGGGGTATGAGGAGGAAGAAGGAGAGCGGGGGAGGAGAAGAACGGTTGATGAGGGTTTCGAGGAGAGAGCTGAAAGGGAAGGAAGGGAAGGGAAGGGTATGAGAGAAGGGAGGGAAGCGGTGTATGGGAAAGGGGGAGAGGCGAGGGGGCAAAGAGGGGGCCTGGATCATAGGCTGCAGGGGCAGATGGGTCCACAGGAAGGACGGGGTTTTGTCAATGGGCAGCATAGGCAGGGTGGTGGTGATAGTACCAGCGACGAGCAGGGTGGGGGGGGGGTTGAGAGCACAGACGACTACAGTGATGATGGTGAGGAGGAGAGTGGGAGCAGCGAAGGACGGCGAGATTTGTATCCCCGAGGCGTAGGTAGTAGTGCGGTTGAGAGCGGTGTGAGAGAAAGAGGGAGGGTGAGTGTGGATGGGAGAGGGGAGGTGTGGAGGGAGAAAGAGGAGGTGAGGAGGAGGGGGAGACGACGAGGGTACAGTATTGGAAGCCTGGATGAGCTCTCAGAGCAAAAGCAGCACTTAGAAGGAGTTAGAGGGCCAGGGGTTGGGAATGTGGACAGAAAAGGAGGGGGCAGGGTTGGTGTGAGTGCAAGGAGGGATGATGATAGGGGGGTGGAGAGTGAAGGGGAAAGGGAAGGTAGGGTGTTTGAAGGGAGGTATGGGACGGTGGGGAGGAAAGATGGGGAGGAGGAGAAGGGGGGGAAGAAGAAAGGCGTGCCTTTGAGACTGGGACGGGGAGAGGAGGAAGAGTCTCAGGAGAGGAAGGAGAGGAGCGAGGAGAGGAGGGATGAGAGGAGGGAGGAGAGGAGGGAGGAGAGGAGGGAGGAGAGGAAGGATAGGTGGGAAGAGCGGGCGGTGAGGGGGGAGAGGGAGGAGAGGGGGGCAGAGGATACAAGAAGGGCTACAGGGCACGGGGATGGGCGCTCTAGTGTGTTGAGTGGTTCCAGTGTGCCTCCCTTTCTCAGGCACCTGAGATCCAAGAGCTTGGTTGACCTCCCCCGGTGGAGGAGACAGAGGGGGGTGGGAGGAGACGGTAGAGATGATAGTACCGATGTCAGTGGTGACGATAGTGATGGTGGTAGTACCGACGATGATGATGATGATGATAATGAGGATGATGATAACGAGGATGATTCTTCTGATGATGACGGCGATAGCAGGGAGGGCAGCAATGCAAGAAGGGGTCGTAGACCCGCTACTCCCACTGCTCGGGCCAGCAGCAGCAGTACCCCTGGGGCTGCCAGTGCTGCTGGTGCTGCCGGTGCTGCCGGTGCTGCCAGGGGGGCTATCGACTTCACTCTTTCTCGTGTTGCGACCTTCGCTCGCTCCTTCACCTCCACCCCCTCCCCTCCAGTCTTGGCTCGCCTCAGAACTCAAGCCTCCGCCTCCGCCTCCTCCCGCCCCCTATTCAAGAAGAAACCGTGCAAGGAAGGTTCCGGGAAGAAGGCGAAACAGCAGGTGACGATAATTCGAGTGGATACTATTACTGGGGGGAAGAAGATAAAAGGCAATGGGGACGGTGGTGATGGCAGGGGTGAGGAAGGTCGGGGCACTGTCGAGTCGACTCAGGAGCAGATCATTCGAGTGAATACTGTCTCTGGTGAGGCTGGGATGAGGAGTAAGGGGAGACGGGATGGTGGTGGTGATGGCAGGAGTGGTAATCGGGATGGTGGAGGTGGCAGGCGTGGTGGTGGCGCGAGTGGTGGTGATGCCCGGACAGAGGATTGCAGGGTTGATGGCAGCAACCGCAGGCACAGCAGCAAAGGCGGCAGTGGCAGTCAGAGCAAGGCAGCACGAAGCAAAGAGAACAGAAGTAGCCATGGCAGCAGTAGCAGGAAGGGTGTGGCGGGTGCTGGGGCCGTTCTTTGCAACGATAGTGGTGGCGTGCAGAGAGGGGTGGTAGGGGGGGAAGGGGAACCGGGAGGGGAAAAAGCGGACCAGAGAGGGGGAGGAGGGGGAGGAGGGGGGGGAGGGGGGGGAGGGGGAGGAGGGGGAGGAGGGGGAGGAGGGGGAGGAGCAAGGGGGGGCGGGGGACGAGGCGGACGAGGAGGGGAAAGGGGAGAAGCAGGGACTAGAGGGGGGAATGCTGAAGCAACTTCTTCCGTCGCCAGTGCTGCGAATGTCGGTGCTGGTGGGGCCTCAGGGGAAGCAAGGCGATTATCCATGGAACAACAGAGCAGAGTGGTGGAAGGGAGGGAGTGCGAGAAAGACAGGCAGAAGGAGAAGGAGAAGGGGAGGGCTGTGAAGTCACCACGCACCCCCCCTGCTGCAGGAGACGAGGCTACAGCAAGAGACAGGGTCACCCCGCGAGACAGGGTCACCCCGCGAGACAGGGTCACCCCGCGAGACAGGGTCACCCCGCGAGACAGGGTCGCCCCGCGGGACAAGGCAGTGGCAGAGAAAGGAACGGGAGCACCAACGTCCCAAGCTACTGCACCCGCCAGCTCTTGCCGCTCCCAGCCTGCCACCCCTGCACGGCCCGCCAAGGCGCCTTCTGAGACGTCCAAAAGGCATGCCGTGACACCCTCTGGAACGACCAGCAGGCATGCCGTGGCCCCTTCCGAGACGTCCCAACGGCGTGCCGTGACGCCAGGAGCCGTGGAGGGGAGGGGGGGTGGCCTGGTGCCAAAGCAGCGCAGTGAATCCCCCCAGCACCCCCAGTCAAGAACCCCTCGCTCAGAGGCTCCTCAGAAGCCCCGCAGCACTTCCCCCCAGCCCTCACCCTCCCAGCCCCCCCGGTCAAGAACCCCTCGCTCTGAGACGCCTCAGAAGCACCGCAGCGCTTCCCCTCAACCCTCATCGCCACAAGTCGCTCCCTTGCCTTCGCCCTCTCACCTTCCCTCGCTCTCCCCAACCCCCTCCTCCAGCCGCCTTCCCCCGCTTGTCGGCCAAAAAGGCCACTCCCGCTCTCTGTCCTTCTCTGTAGGCACGCAACCAACCCCCCAGCTGTTTCAAGCGAGTCTTTACCCAAACCAACTAAGCCTGTATCCCAACCAATACAGCCCGGATATCCACCCTGGCCACTTGGGTCTTTACCCAAGCCAGTTCACTCCTTTCCCTGGTCACTATGCTCCTTCACCTGCAACAGGGGCTGTTCTTTCCTCCACACACCAAGCACCAAGGCTCTCCGGCCCTTTGGGTCAGCCAAGCCTTCCCCAGTCGAGCCCCTTTCAGAGCCCTCAGACTCCCCCTCCATTTCATGGCCCAGCGGCCTCAGGAAGCAAGCAGCAGGGGTCCGTTGCTCCGAGGGTGGGGGGAGGAGGGGTGGGAGGAGAGAGGGCGGCAGGTGGGAGGGCGGTTAGGTCTAGGAGCGTTGAGGAGATGGGGAGTGTGGTTGTAGGGGGTGTGAGGGACGTGGGTTCGAATCCTGGTGCTGCCATTTCTGGTGCTAATAGTGGTGGTGGTTATGGCGGTGGCAGTGGCGGTGGCAGTGGTGATGGCAGTGGTGGTGGTGACGATAGGGGGCAAGGGAGAGGAGGAGGGGGAGGGGGTGCGGGGGACAGGGGTGCTGTGAGGCGGGGAAGGGGGGTGCCTGGGAGCAGGAGTCTTGATTGGGATGTAGTGATGCGAGAGAGGGAGGAGAGAGAGAGGAGGGAGCAGAGACAGAGGAGAGAGGGGAGGGAGGGGAAGAGTGAGGGGAGGGACGAGAAGGGAGACGGGGAGAGGAAGGAGGAGAGTATGCGGAGGAGGAGCGAGAGGCATTCTCTAGGTGCAGCTGACGTGGAGAGATGGTTGGATGATGCTGCTGAAGGGGTGGGGGTAGAGGAGACACCAGCAGCAGTGGAGGATGACATGTATCCTCGTTTAGAGCAGATTCCGTACAGCTTTGAAGCGCTGCAAAGCTGCTCTGGGCGGCATGAAACGATCAGGGGCTATCCGGGTGCTGTTTCACCAGGTGTCATGCTGCCATTGGTCATGAGCCCAGGAGGAAATACTTTTGAGTTCGGTGTGTATGATGGTGGGGGTGTGCATGATGGGGGTATGTATGGTGGGGTTATGCATGGAGGGTGTGAACAGGACATGTACAATAATGACATGGCTCCGGGGACGGTTGACAGTATGGGGGGGATGGGCGACGGTACCGGGGGGGTGGGTGACCGCGTGGGCGATTGTATGGGTGACAATACCGGCGATCACGGTATAGGGGGGATGCGCGACGGTTTGAGTTTTGGTGGTGGAGAAGGTGTGTGGCTGCACACAAACAACCATGGGGAGCAGCAACAACAGCTACAGCAACAGCTGCAGCAGCAGCGGCAGCAGCAGCAACAACAACGGCAGCAGCTGCCGCAGCAACAGCAGCAGCGGCAGCAGCTGCCCAAGTCTCCCCAGTACCAATCCACGTCTTTTACTATTTCCTCCCCTTATTTGCCTGTCGAAGGCAGGTGTTTTTCAGCATCAACCACACCCACCTACAGTGCAGCAGCAACACGGGCACTGATGGCTGGAACAGCTTCTCATGCACCTCCCCCTTCCCCTGTCCTCCATACAAGCTACCTCGATTCTCCCTACCTGTCTCCATCGCACCATGCTGCACAGCTGCAGCCAACATACAACGATGCATCGAATGAGGATACGCCATATCATGATACACCAGGCCGCGATAGGTCATCCCATGACACACCATACAGCGCCGCACAGTACAATGACACATCATGCCATGACACGTCATGCTATGACATGGCGTATCATGTCCTTGCCAGTCCACCCACGTCAGCAACTGCCAATGCAATTCCACCAGTGCATTCTGGGGCCCCTTCTGGTGGTGACTGTTCATCCTCAGGTGATTTTTCAAGTGGTGATCAGCAAGTCAGGGAGGCACAGCAGCACGCAAACAGGGCTCACCATCAGCATTCCCGCAGCATTGCTCTTGGGATGATTCATCAGATGGCAATGATGGATGCTCCAGGCTTTGATTTGGCAGCTCTCGATTTATACCAGCAGCACCACCATCAGCAGCAGCAGCAGCAGTCACAACTCACATGGGGGTATGGGTTGTTGAACTAGGGCGCAGATTTTTATGCGTAGAGAAGTTTGAGTATATCCATGTTTTCCCTTGGTTCTATTGTGAATACATTTGTTGAGGGGGCGAGTCGATTGAGCAACTATCTCGTAGCAAAAACTGGTGACTAGCTATGATGTGCGCAATTCTTCCTTTTATTACGGTATGCGATTATTTATCATCCACCCTATGGAAAGCCTACCATTTCAAATTGGGTTGTCTCCACACCATTTTCCTTTCATGTTCCCATAGATTACTTGATGTAACAGAATTATGTACATCAGCTGTAGCTAGATTAGCACTGAAGAGCCAACTTGTTTTGCCTGTTTGTTGTGGTTGGTTGGTAAACTTGTGGCCCACGAGGTCCAGCGATTCCTGGCCCCTATTGGACGCTGACCCACAAGCCTCCCAAACCGCCCTGAAAGAAATCGTTTAGCACTACACACCTCATGCCCTCGATATGAGATTACGGAAAGTCGCGTTTACGTGGTGTTTTATGCGAATTGGATGGATTTTGTATGGTTTGCCTGCCCGTCGGAGAGCCAAACATCGGTGTACCCACAAGCCCCCTGTTGCCGCCGTTGTGTTCAAGCCGCCCCTCGTAGTTCCCAAGGACCCTCGATTTCTTCATTCGTGCAGCTGACAAGCGACGCTCATCAGAGATGAACTTGAGGGCGCTTTTGTGAGGTGCTAGGGGTTTTATAACGATTCTTTTGTTTGGTACGACGGTTGGATAGAGTTTTGAGCGGAAATGAGCTTTCATAGAGCAGCTAATGCTTTCATAGAGTTGACAGTTGGATGTGCTTTGGCTGGACAGTGTCAATGATTGGCGCCGCCACTATGGTCTCCCTCAGTCGCCGTTCCCTCGGCTGTACAACTAGTTCACGAAAGAAGCGTAGCTAGGTTAGGAAGAAGCGTTTGGAACGACGACGAGTTCGAGAGCACGAGGCCAGGAATAAGCGTTAGGAAACGTCGCTTTCTCAGTCATCAAGCTTAGGGCGAAGCGTTGTTAGGGAGTACTGTAAGTACATAAGTTTTGCGGACTGTACAGTAATGAAATAGACAAAAAGCTGACGTGCTTTTAATATATCGCATGCGAATTCCCAGCATTCTTGCGCGTACTAGGTGATCACCATGATTCGCTTGTGGACGCCCCACCAGAAGATATACCCGTGAGACAGTTCGCGAGCTGAGCCTGAATATGGGCGTTGTAACCAGGTAACCATGTCGCCAGCTTGCGTCGCCGTGCAGTCCGAAGCCATCATGGACCTGTATACGTCAGCACACGCTAATGCAGCCCATGGCGCTCCTAACCCTCTGGCCCGAGGCGGCTCTCGCGGTGCGACCCAGAGCCAGGGAGTCAGTGTAAGCCGCTCTACAAGTATAAGCCGCACCTCCGATAATCGGAATGATTCTGGCGCGTCGCGAATTAAGGACGTTAGCAGACCCGTCGACTCCGCGAATAAGGCGATTCGATTTCGTTCTTCCGCTCGTGACGACGGGGCCGGGACTACTACTAGTACTAGCAGCAGCGGCGGCTCGCAGTCGAGCATCGTGATTCACGATGACGTGGCAGCGCGAACCGGGTTCACACCTTGCCGCTTTGCTTCTTCCGCTCGTGGTCTCCCGGCTGGCGGCGAGCCGAGCAACGAGGTGGCTCGTGAGTCGACTCAAAAATCACCTTGCCGCTTTGCCTCTTCCGCTCGTGGTCTCCTGGCCGGTGGGGAGACGAGCAGCGGCTGCTCCCAGTCCAGCATCGTTATCCACGATGACGTGGCAGACGAAGCCGCGAGTTTCTTGCCTCGCGACGCCGCGCCGTGGATTGCGGACGGGGACGACGGCACTGTGGGCCACCGTGACGAGGAAACCCTAGGAGGAGGCCCGGGCGGAAGGACTATCCGGAACGCTCACGGAAACGACGAGGAAAGCCAAAGTGGGTTGGAAACCCAAAGAGGTTTGGAAACCCGAAGAGGATTGGAAACCCAAAGAGGATTGGAAACCCAAAGAGGATTGGAAACCCAAGGCGGATTGGAAACCCAAAGAGGATTGGAAACCCTAGGCGGATTGCGAATTGGACGGAAGGATAGGAGGGACTCGGCAGCACAGGGCAGCAGAGAGGCGCGGGAAGAGGCAACGGGCACCAAAGCGGACCAGAGCGGTAGTAGGGCTCGGGGTCGGCGGACCAAAGCGGGGGACGAGTTGAGCGGGGCGTCAGGCGCACCAGGGGCAGCGGTAGGGGGCTCCCGCGCGCACGCGCCCATGGTTGACGGCCCCCCCTCGACGTCCACGGTAGAAGGCTCGGCTCGTCGCAAGCCGTCCCGGTTCCCCAAGTCTCAGTCTTGCTCCGCCTCGCCACTGCAACCGCAGCAGCCAGTGCCGCCAGAGCAGGCGCAGCAGCCAGTGCAGGCACTGCAGCCGCAGCAGGCGCAGCAGCATGCTGACGGCCTCCCCAGATCCCACTCTCGCGCGAGTAGCAGCCGCAGCAGTGCAAGTGGCAGCAGCGGCAGGAACAGCAGCAGCAGCAGCAACGGCACCACCGGTGAGAGACCGAAGTCAAAGCTGCAGGGGCGTGAGCTGATAGCTTCCAGTGCTCCAGATGGCGCCTATAGTCTGTTACTGGAGTCGTTGATAGCGGAGCAACACCTGCAGCAGGGTGGGGTGGGGCCGCAGGGCGTGGGGCAGCAGGGCGTGGGACAGCAGGGCGTGGGGCAGCAGGGCGTGGCAGCACTGCTGTTGGACGTAAGAGGCCAGGTTAAAGCCGCCACTGCAGCAGCGATCAGGGCGGTCAGAGGGGAGGGAGTGAGGGACAGAGGCGGAGGAAGAGGAGGAGAGAGGGAGTGGGAGGGCGAGGAAGGGAATGGAGATGACGTGGCAGGGCCTTCTTTGATTGGTCGCAGCATTCACCATCTGAGCGATGGGACGGTGACGGTGGATAAGTGGATGGCGGCGGTTTCGTCTTTATTGATAGATGATGATGATGATGAACCTCAAGAGGAAAGCGTCGTTTTCCCTTTCCACGTGGTTCCCATGTCTTTAATCTCCTCCGCTGCTGGTAGCAGCGCCTCGGCTTTAAAGCCCAGGAGTCAGAAGATGAACCTAGAGTTACGCGTTGTAACAGGGTTACACGCCGAGGTTACCCCTCCAGTGCCGCATTCCACTGGAGCAGGCCAGGTAAAAAGCCAGGTTGAAGACCAGGTAAGGCCTCTGTTGCTTGGAGTGATGACTCCTGAGGGTAAAAGGCAGGAGGGTGGAGAGGATAGGGAGGGTAGGGGGTTGGGGCAGGAGAGGGAGGGCGGGGAGCAAGTGAGAAAGGGGAGGTTAAGGGGAGGAGAGATGGAGAGCAGGGGAAGGGAGAGAGCAGGGAGGTTAAGGGGCGAGGAATTAGAGCAGAGGGGGAAGGAGCAACGGCAGCAGGAGAGGCAGCAGGAGAGGCAGCAGAAGCTGCCACGTCAGCCTTCAGGCCACTTGAGAAACCTCTCAGAAGGTTCCCTACCTCGGCCTTTGGATAGGAGCGGCAGCGGGGGGAGCATGCTGCCAAAACCGCCCACCGGGCCAACGGGGCAGAGAGGAGAGAGGAGCAGGAGGCGACATGCATCGGTGGGGGAGGAAGGGGTGCTAGACGTAGGTCCGGCCCGTTCCCATGGCAAGACTAGGTTCGCAGCTGCTGCTGCAGCAACCGCTGCAGCAGCAGAAGCAAGAAGAGCAGGAGTGGGACGAGGAGGGGGAGGAGGCGTAAGGTTAGGGAGGGGAGGACAGGTGCAGAGATGTGCGAGTGATTTGATTGATTCGAGCAGCACAAGAGGCTCCCCCCTCACTCGCCCACATGCCTTCCCAAAGTCAAACTCCGCAGGGCGGCAGGCGCAGTCCCAGGAGCAGGAAAATGTATTGGAAGATGCTTATAACGAGGATGTCTTTCACGCTGACACGTCACACGGTGCAGGGTCACCAGCAGCTGCTGCAGAAGCAGTAGGAAGGGGAGGAGGAGGAGGAAGAGGAGGAAGGATGGGGAGGGGAGGACAGGTTCAAAGATGTGCGAGCGATTTGGATGCCTCTAGCCACACATTAGGCGGCCATCTCTCTCCCCAGCATGCTTTCCCAAAGTCAAATTCCGCAGGGGGGCAGCCGCAGCCCCAGCAGCAACAGGAATATGAACTGGGGGATAGTTATAACGAGGATGTTCTGGAAGGTGCTTATAACGAGGATGTCTTACACGCTGACACATCACAGGGTACTGTGCTTTCTGATGCGGTACTCGGGGATGCAGATGCTGCTGAGTGTGGTGTGGCAGTGCGAAACCGGCAAGTCAGTGAGCAAAGCCCTCCTTATGGGAGACGAATTGGCGTGAAACCAGTGCGACCGAGGTTGAGACAGCGGCGAGTGTCGTTTCAGGATATGGGGGGTGAAGAGCACGAGGAAGAGGAGGGGGAGGGGGAGGGGGAGGAGGAAAAGGAGGAGGAGGAGAGGGAAGAGAACGAGGAGGTGAGGCGGCACAGCAGACAGAAGGAAGGGGGGAGGGAGGGGAAAGGGGGGAGGAAGGGCAGGGGAGGGAGCATGGGGAGTCTACACGAGCTTCTGCATTTCTTCCAGCATAGATCAAATGGCAAGTCACAAGAAAAAGAGCAGGCGAGCTCTAGGTTAGAGGAGAAAGAGCGTGATGCGGGTGCAGTAGGGGGAGTGGGAGGATGGGGGGGGCACAGGAGGAGACACAGCGCAGCAGACGTTTGGGGCGGTAGGGGAAAGGAGGAGGAGAGGGAAGGGAGGGATGGGGTAGGGAGAGCAGAGGAAAGGGAGGGAGTGGGAGGGCGGAAAGGAATGTCAAAGAAGACCGTCTATTATGCAAGTCTCAAAGGGGGAGCAGTGGAAAACGTGACGAGAGAAGGGGAAGAGAGAGAAGAGTGTGGGGATAGGGATGCGGCTGCAGAGAAAACGGATAAGCAAAGGCAGCCAGGAACTAGCAGAGCTGGGAGGGGAGGAGGCGCCAATCATGTGCCAACGTGTGCTAGGCGTAGAGGCAAGTCCCTCGAGTGCTTCCCTGCGTTGTTGCACCATAGTTCTAGGGATTACCACTACTCTTATGCTACTGATAGTTCGGGGGATGAGTTGAGTCAGGTGAGGCGGGCTAGCAGAGGCGCCACAGGGAGGGAAGGCGGGAGGGAGAGGGAGAAGAATGCGGAGCAGAGCGGTGAGAGAGGAGCAAAGCCAAGGGAGAAGCATGAAGAGGCAGGTGGGGCGAGGGTAGCGGAAGGGAGGAGGGGAAGCGAGAGGAGATGCCGGGTAGAGCGATGTGAGGGGGAGGTGAAGGGGAGAGAAGGGGAGGGAGGTGGAGGGAGGGAGGGAAGGGAGGTGAAGAGTGTGCAGGGAAGGGAAGGGACCGAGAGCACTAGGTCACGTAAGTTGGTAGTGAAATGGGAAGACAGTGAGGAGGAGGAGGAGGAGAAGGAGAGGGAGGGGAAAGAGGAAGAGGGAGAGGAAGAGGAGCAACAGCAGCAGGTTAAGCTGCAGCAACAGCAACAACAGCATCAGCAGTTTCCACAGCACCCGCAGCAGCCGCAACAGCAGCAGCATCAGCAGCAGCAGGTTCAACAACTGCTGCTGCTCCAGCAGCAACAGCAGTGGATCGGGCAGCAGCCCCTTAAGCAGCAAGCCCAGCTGCAGCAGCAGAACCAGCAGCACCTACAGCTGCACACGCAACCGGCACGGATGCAGCCGTCGCCGATGCAACAGCGGCAATCGCTACACTTGCAGCAGCAGCAGAACAGGTTTGGATATTCCCAACCCGCTTCTGGTGAAGGGTTTGATTCTGGTGGTTACCAGGTTGGCGGTTACGTGGCAGACGGTTACATGGCAGATGGTTACCAGACAGGTGGTTACTGGGCGGCAGGGCAGCAAAGTGTAACGCAGGTGGAGCGAAGCGATGCCGCTCTGTCTCCTGTTTTTAGCGCCAGTGTTGTGGATGATGAGGAGGAGGAGGAGGAGGAGGAGGAGGAGGAGGAGGAGGAGGAGGAAGGAGCGGTGGAGGGGGAAAGGGGGGAGGGGGAGGAGGAGGAGGAGGGGAAGGAGGAGGAGGAGAAGGAGAATGAGGAGGAGGAGGAGAAGCAAGAGAAGCACCCCCAACCCAGTAGGACTGCTCCTGACAGTGCCCATTCCATCGCCGCACCTCATTCCCGCCCCCCTCCTCATTTGCACGGTCCTGCTCTCTCTGGTAGGCCTGCCTTTCCCCGCAGCCAATCCGTATCTAGTGCTGGAGGCAGAGGGGAGGGGGGAGTAAAGGTGGGCAGGGGAAGGGAGGGAGGAGGAAAGGAGGGCAGGCGAGTGGCGGCAGGGGGAGAGGGGGAGGTGAGGAGAGTGGGTGTAAGGGATGTGGCTGTAAGGCGGGTGGCGGTGCGGACTGACACAGATGAGATCAATCCAAAGCTCCGGCTCAAATCCATGTCCTTTGCTCTCGGGGGGGGGAAAGGGGGCGATGGGCAGGGGGGGAGTGGTGGAGGGTTGATTCAAAAGCTGTTTAAGGGCCACGGGAGCGGGGTGGGGGATGACGGAAAGGATGCTGAGGTGAACAGATTGAAAAATGGGACGAAGTCTAGAGGGAAGGTGGATGCAGTGGGCAAGACAAGCAAGGGGAGTAAGGGAATGGGGAAGGAGGGAAGCGAGGGGGAAGGGGAGGAGCAAGAGGGAGAGGAGGTGGGAGAGGAGGAGGAGGAAGACGAGGAGGTGGATTCTGACGAGGAGAGGAGGAGGAGAAGGTTAGAGCCCAAGGAGGTCAAGATTGCCCGGATCACTCGCATGCTCGCACAAGGCGCCCCGCCAGCAGCAGCGGAAGCAGCAGCAGCGGGTGCAGTGGGAGAAGCAGGAGCAGCATTGGGGAGTGAAGGAGCCGGCAATAGTGCGGCAGAAAAGGGCCAGGAGCGCCAGACAGGCTCGGATGTTCTGATTGTGGCGCATGGGGAGCAAGAAGGTGGGCTGAACCTTCCTCCTGGGCCGAGTTTCCTCGGCATGGGGGCAGTGGGAGGTGGCTCTAGCATGGGGGGTATGTACAGGGAGGAATATCCCCCATATCACCAGCAGCCGCAGCAATACCAGCAATACCAGCAGTACCAGCAGCAGCAGCAGCAGCAGCAGCAGTACCAGCAGTATCAGCACTTGCAAAGTACGATGCTTCAAGGTCAGCAAGTCCCTGGGCCCGGCTCGAGGCTAGCGGCAGGGCCTGCAGGAGCTGCCACTGCCCCTGCTGCTGCTGCTGGTGCTTTAAGGATGGGTGGTGCAGCCCTGGGGATGGGTGGTCCTGGTGGGGTAGGAGTGATGGCTATTCTTGGACATAGGGAGGGGCAGGGGCAGCAGCCAGCGCATTTGTCTCTGCAGCAGCAGTCCATGTTTCTGTGGCAGCAGCAGCAGTTCTATCAGCAGCAGCAGCAGCAGCAACAGATGATGCTCCAGCAGCAACAACAGCAGCAGCACCAGAAGTACCAGCAGCAGCAGCAGCAGCAGCAGCAACAGCAACAGCAATATCTCCTAAATCAGCAGCACCAGCAACAGCCCCAGCAACAGCACCCGCACCAGCACCAGTACCAACAACAGCAACAGCAACAGCAACAGCAGCAGCACTTACTGCAGCAGATGCAACAGCAGCAGGAGCAGGCAGGAAGGCCAGGGTCGGCCATAAGACCAGGGTCGGCCATTTCTCAGCCTCTAAGAGACCCAGGCTTGCCTCCTTATGTCACGCGTGCCACCACCACCACGGCCCTCCCTCCCTCCTCCTCCTGCTCCTCCTCCACCCTTCCCCCTCTACCCAAGAGTTTCTCCTCTATTGTTCCGTCTACGGGTGTTTCTTCATCTGGCCCCTCGCCTAGTAACCTCATACCTGGTAACTTCCTTCCTGGCAACCCGTTACCTGGTTACCACTTCGCCAGCAGAAGCTATGATTCTCTCACCACCAGCTTTGGCAGCAGCAGCAATGCCCCTGGGCCAAGCCACAGCAGCACTCCTGGTAATGCTAGTGGCGGGCCTGCTAGGGTTGCCCCAGGCGGCTGTCATCGACCGTCTTTAAGCTTTTCTTCTCCTGTTCCAAGTGCGGATTGGCACCATATGGCTCCTTCTCTGCCTCCTGTGGGGGGAGATGCGGCGGGTGGTGCTGCCATGGGAGCCATGGTGCCCAGTGGTATGGCATATCCGCCACATTCTTCTGTGCCGCCTGCCTCCATGGCTGCTGGACCTGCCAGGTCAACGCTTGATAGGAGGCGCAGTGCCTCATGGGGCGGGGTGGCCGTTGATGACCCAAGTTCTGAGGTTGATATGACGAACGTTCAGCACTGAGTGGTGTTGAATGGAGTAGGTTCAGGAATGGCTAGTATGCCTAGTAGTAGTAGCCACGAGCAGCTCGGAATTGCATTAAAGCATGGGGTGAAGTACATATGCTTCTCCTCGAACCTTGGATTGGTTTAATTTGTGTGATCCTGTCTCTTTTCTGCATTGTAGTAAAGCCGGAACCCCTTGTAAGGATAGAAGTTTTTTCCACTCATTCCTCAAATCCACTAACGCACCACCATGGGAGGAAGGGGGCACATCTCGGAAACAGTTTCCCAGAATTCGATTATCTGCCAGCTTCACATCACACAACTGCATTTCCCCCCATCGGCCAGTTCGATTCAAATCTGCCTGCATTCCGCCAACTAAACCTCATCCTCATCAGGGCTGCTGCTGTTGTTGCTTTTGAGGGCATTACACTGGTGATCGGGCACACAATTTCTGGTGGCGAGAGTTTTTTTTGTTGGTGCATCGAAAGCATTACGTGCTAAAAACGAATTGTACATCTTTCAAAAACTATTTGTCTGCGCCCTGGGCAAGTTTTGCAGCACATTCAGCTCACACTGAACCGCGGATCAGATTCATGCGAAGGAGCGAACGAGAGAAATTGGCGAATTTCTCCATTGGAGCGACGGGAACATTGAGGCTGGCTGGAAGTGGGAGAGAATGAGAGACAGGGGAGAGCCAAGGCGGCGCGCATGCCAAGCCACAACATCCACCCCTCTATTTGCCGATCCGCCGCTTTCCATCATCATTTGCGCGCTCACTGCCCACTGCTCACACCCACCCAGCATCGCCCCCCTAGCGTGCTCACGTCAGGCTACTTGTTGTACGACCTACAATCGTCTACACTGATGATTGTACAATCATCTACACCACACATACTTGTGTATGATTGCATTGCATTCCGCCACCACATGGCTGCTCCAGTCCAGCCCTGCGCTGGCTTGCCTACACCTCTGTTCTCTGCTGCACATTTCTCGAGCCGAAGCACCCAGCCAGCTTTTCGAGTTCGTTTTTTCCTTGGTGCGTATCGAGTTGGTTCTTTCGTCCGTGTTCGCGGCGGGATCAGACGAGTCACCAGATACAGCTCAGTTGCAAGCATCAATCGATTGCAGTACAGGCCAGGCTGTGCGGTGGCTGTGCTGTGCTGTGCTGCTCTGCTCGAAGCACGAGGAAGGACGCGTAGAAACTGCGCTTGCGCGTGCCTAGAACGCAGTTCTACGTAGTACCTAGTCTTGGCGCGATGTCCGTATCGGCAAGTGATTTGGCCGCGGCGCATTCTCCCAGAGTCACGAGCGGTGCCAGCGGACGCAAAGGGTTGTGGGCTGGCACTCGGTGCGCAGTCGCAAATCGCAAGTCGCACGTCGCACGCTGTTCACGAAAGGCTGTACTGTTAGAAAAGTACGGCGAGCGCTGCGCGGATAGTATCGCCAGAAGTTAAGCTGAGGTGAAGACACCGTGTTGACGTGACGTCGATCCTATACGATGGAGAAAGTCGATCCGTCCAGCGCCGATAGCATATACGAACGCCACGCGGAGTATCGCCATACGATATGCTGGGGTTAGGACCAGCCTGTGCGTTCTCGAAGTGCTTGGGATTTCTCAAGCTGCACTGAGTTTCTCAAGTGTCGGTCGTGAAGATGTACAGATGAACGCCGAGCGCCGCGCTTATCCTCCAGGAACTCTCTGTCAGTTCCCTTTTGAGGCGCCTAAAAAGCAGTCGTGAGGAGTCTATTTTTGAGGCGCCTAAAGAACAGACGAACGCCAAGCGCCGCGCTTATCCTCCAGGACCTCTTTGTCAGTGACGGTTCACAAATGATTTTTGAGTCAACTCAAAAATCACCTTTGTCACTCACAGTTCACAAATGACGCGAATGCCCGGCGCTTTCAGATACTTTCTGACTCGGGAAGTGTTGTAGCAGGGTCTCTAACAGCGCGCTTTGCGCTTTCAGATGCTTTTCACGACTAACAGCCTGTGGCATAGTAGCCTCGAAGGGTAATAGACGACCTCTGTTTCTTGAAGCGACTCGAAACCCGGGAAGTGTACTCGGACTTATAACTACGACTAGTCGTAGTAGTTGTTAGAGTACCATCAGGTCGTCAGCTTGATGCCCGCTCAACGGGTAATGGACGACCTCTGCGCGCAATCGCGCGCCACCATACGCGACAAGTACCGCCTCGGTACAAGGACCACCTTATCCGCCGTCACTCCCGCCGCCTTTCCCGGAAAAAGCTCTCCCGCCGCATCCCCCGCCGCATCTCCCGTCGTTCCCTGGCGCGAGCGCGTCGCGGACGTGGCAGAGACCGATATGAGATGGGCGGTGGCGACATACGCCGCCGCTCCCGTTGAGGCGCCGCAAGAAGACACGAGATACCGCACCTCAGGGGGCGTCGCGACATACACCGCCGCTCCTAAAAGGAGTAGCACTCCTACTCCTAGTGCGAGAAATTGCGGCGGCAGGATTACTAATCTAGCGCAGGGAGCGAGTCGCGTCACTCCTGCTATCAGCGGTGGTACGAAGGAAGAATGGAAGGAGACGGGGGGCAGCAGGAGCAGGCCGCCCGTAGGCAGCGCGAGGGCGAAAGGCAAGTCCATTGGGTCGCTGGCAGAGCTGCGACAGCTGGCGATGACGCAGCAGGGGCAGCAGATGACGCAGCAGGGGCAGCAGATGACGCAGCACGGGCAGCAGATGTCGCAGCGGCAGAAGCTGAGGCAGAAGCAGCGCAACGAGCAGCCGAAGAGGGGTCGCAGTGGGCCTTTGCGTGCCGCTGTCTCTCCCTCCACCCGTGCGTACCGGGCGCGGAACAGGAGCCTCGGGGACGACGTTACGTTTCGCGGGATCGCACTGGACAGCGATGCGGATACCGACGTGAGTACGTCCCAAAATTGGGGGGCCATAAACCGCGAAGCATCCCCAAAATCAACTGCATGGAGGAGAGTTGACTCTGGAAGCCTGATGCGCCGTGAATCAGCAGCACGCGCCACAGAAGCACGCGCCTGGATCGACGACGCGGAAAGGGCGGGCGAAGCCGACAAGGGAAGAGCGGAAAGGGCGCGCTGGAAAGAAGACGCGGAAAGAACAGGCGGCGAAGCCGAGGGGGGAGGCGAAAGCGAGAGCAGCGCTGAGACGGGCCGCAGTGCCCTCGAGATGCCTCAGTCAGCGAAGCCATTCGTTCCGTCTGCTCCTGCTCTGCACCAGTGCTTCTCCCCTGCACCCGCCACGCCCGGCCGTTTTGCAGCGTCGCTCAAGTCTCTGGTCGGAAGGCTGCAGTTTGTTGCGAGCAAAGGGGGGAGAGATAGAGACGATTGGCGAAGTGGAGGAGGCGAGAGGGATCGAGGCGGCATCAGAAGTGGAGAAGGCAGGGGAGCAGAGAGCGCCCCTGGTGCCATCGGTGAGGGCGTGAATGCGGCACCAGCAGTGAGAGCAGCGAGGACCCCGGCTCTAACGTCCCCAACCCAAGTTGTAACATCCCCAAGCCAGGGTTTAACGTCTCCAACCCCGGCTGTGCATCGCGGTGGCACGCTGAAGGGCGGAAGCAAGACTCGAGTGTCCGGAGCGGCAGCAGGAGCAGCAGCAGGAGCAACAGCAGGGGGCGCAGCAGCAGGACCGGCAGCAGGAGCAATAGCAGCAACCAGCAAACAAAAGGCTTCCCTGCCTTGCGTGAATAAGAGTGCCACCCTCATTACAGTCACACCACGCATGAAACTCCCCAGTTCAGCTACGTTCTCTGGGGGCAATGCGCCACCGGTACCAGCACCTCAGCACATGCAGCATGTTCCCCGGAGCAGGTCCGGCGCAGGTGCGGGTACGGGTGCAGGTGCGGGAGCAGGTGCGGGTACAGGGGCAGGCGCAGGGGCAGGGAGTGGGGCAGCAGAAGTGCATGATCCTAGAAGACCAACAAAGGAAGAATCGACTGGCAGGGGTCACGGTGACCATCACAATCGCCTTGATGACCTCTACCCCCAGAGCTATCATCCAAAGGTCATAGTACAAGCACCTGAAAGCGGACTGGCTGTAGCAGCAGCAGCATCAGTGCCAGCAGTGGCAGCAGCAGCAGCAGGAGCGGCGGCGGCGGGGCCGGAGGCAGTGGAAAAATGGCTGCAATCTGCTGATCTCACAGCCTGGCCCTTGGAAACAGAGGTGGAGTGGGAGGAGAGTGCGTGGGAGGGGGGAAGCATGTGGGAGGGGAGTGCATGGGGAGAGAGTGGTGTGCTCCCTTCGGTGCACACTCCCTGCCACACCCTTTTTAAATTCCAAGAGGATATATCGATTGCGGAAGCAGCTGCGCTGTGGGGTTACAACGGAACGCATTCTATGGAGCCCGTATCTTGTGCTCCAATAACAGGATATTCAAGTGTACCACAGTGGTATCCTTCTGGGCCTGCTTTTGTGCAACAGATGGAGGTGGATCAACAACATTTTTTAAACGGACCCTGGTCACATGATATGACACCATGCAGCACACTACTTCCAAGTTATTCCAAGTGTCACCAACAGCCTAACAGTGCTCATTTGTGCGACTTGCCTGCCAATGGTGAGTGGCAGTGTGAACTGTGGTTTGCTCCAAGTGCTCAAGCTGTAAGGTACCCTTGAAGATTTCTGGTGTAGGCTTTATGCTTATCAAATAAATGTATGAACATTATTCTCAAAATAAATGGGTTCCGTTTATACAGCCGTGTAAATGTAAGGATCCTGGATAATTCTGCTGAAAGTGCACTTTCTGTAACAAAACCCAGCGTCGTATGTGAAAAAGTGCTGAGAGATTCGCCATTTCGTTTCGCACATCGTTCAACCCAAACCCGCCCACCTCCTAAATACCGAAACCCTAGGAACAAAAAGCCTAGACCCAGGCGTACTTATTTCCTAAGCCCCACTATTTCATCCTTTCCCAGTGCGTTCCGCCCGGTTCGCCCGCAGACCATCGCACGACGTCGCCAGTCTTCGCTGACGCTTTCGCTGCGCAGTCGTTGGCACATCTTGGTTTCTCGCACACCTCGAGTCGTGGTTCCCTCCGTTTAGTCCGTCGCCTTTGGACGTCTCTAACGTACTCCTCTTCGTTGAGCTCTTCAGCTCGCTTAGGAGCAGTCTTCGCGTTAGGGTTACCAGGGAACCGTCATCACCGAACGGATCTCATTACAGTTGCCGATTTCGCCTACCTCGCGAATTTCGTCGCATTTCGTTGGTATTCGCAGTTCGAACCACACGCATCCGCTGCGATTCCGTTCAGCTGCGTCTTAATCTCAATCGTCCATCCGTTTTCAAACTAATCTCGAGTCGCTGGTCGGCGCGGCGCCATGAGATTAGAGAAGTGCTGGTTCTGCTCGTCAACGGTGTACCCGGGTCACGGCATCTGCTTCGTTCGAAATGACGCCAAGGTGAGAGGGTTCACAAAGAGACGACGGGAAACACAATTTTTGAGGCGCCTCAAAAATTGAGAGGGTTTTTGAGGCGCCTCAAAAATTGAGAGGGTTTTTGAGGCGCCTCAAAAATTGAGAGGGTTTCTGAGGCGCCTCAAAAATTGAGAGGGTTTTTGAGGCGCCTAAAAAATCCTCAAAAATTGAGAGGGGGCACAAAGAGACGACGGGAAACACGGAGGAAGTGACTGCTTCAGGACTGCGGGTTCTGCTCGTCGATTGTGCATCCGTGTTCCGGTATTTGCTTCGCGCGAAACGATGCCAAGGTGAGGGGAAACACCCCGAAAGGGCGAAGTCTTTGGGAGCCGAATCCGGAATTACAAGCAAACCCTAGCAGGTTCGGGCAGCCCTTTGAAGAGCTTTGTGATAAGCCTCAAAAGTTTTCTTGGTTCCATCCCGTCTATTTTTGAGGCGCCTCAAAAATATACTCCTTTTCTTGGTTCCATCCCGTTTCTTAGGTTCCCGTTTCTTAGTCTCGAAGCTGTTTACTTTACGTTGCCTTGCCGCGATTTTACCCGTCTTTACCCTTTTCAACCCCTGTGAACCCCCTTCGACTGCTGTTATTCGTGTCGGCAGGTATTTCGCTTCTGCCGCTCCAAGTGCCACCGAAACTTCAAGCTGAAGCGCAACCCGCGGAAAGTGCGATGGACCAAGGCATACCGCCGCCTTCACGGCAAAGACCTCGCCGCCGTGAGTCACTTCTCCCTCCCGCTCTCCCTCGCACTATCAGCCCTCCGCCGCCCGCCCTCCCCCGCCCTCCCTCGCACTAGCGTCGCCCTCCCTCCCGCCTCTTCCCCTTCCTTCCCCCCTTCCCGCTCCCCCGTTCCCGCTCCCTCCTTCCCCCTTCCCGCTCCCCGCTTCTCCCCGGGACGATTGTAGTGTGGTGGCTGGCCTTGTTAGACCCATTAGCTCCCGCCCCTCCCCCCTCACAGGACGCCGCCTAAGAGATGGGGCAGCGGCGCAACGGAATGATGGCGGCAGCGCAACGGAATGATGGCGGCGGCGCAACGGAATGATGGCGGCAGCGCAACGGCATGATGGCGGCGGCGCAACGGAATGATGGCGGCGGCACAGCGGTCTCACTGGCCCCTTTGGCTCATGTCCTCCGCCCCTTTCCACCCCCCACTCCCTCCAGGATGCCACCTTCGAGATGGAGAGAAGGCGCAACCGGCCCGAGTGGCACGACCGCAACGTGGTGGCGACTACGGCGACTGCGACAAAACGTTCTTCCCTGTCCCCCCTGGTTCTGCCCACCTCCCAACCCCTTCCCCCCCCTCCCCTTCGCCCCCACCCTTTCCGCCTCCCCCCATCACTCCAGGACGCCACGTTTGAGATGGAGAGGCGGCGCAACCGCCCTGAGCGGTACGACCGCAACGTGGTGGCGACGACGGTGGCTGCCATGAAGCGAATCGACGAGCTGCGCGTGAAGCGGCAGGCCAAGTTCTGGGAGAAGCGGTGAGCGCTGAGGGAGGGGGGTTGGTTCTGGGGGTGGGGATGGGCCGGGTAATGGGCTCTGTGGCGACGACAGTGGTTGCGATGAAGCGAACCGACGAGCTGCGCGTGAAGTGCCAGGCCAAGTTCTGGGAGAAGCGGTGAGTGGTGGGGAGCCGGTAAGTTGGGTTTGAGTGCCTGAATACTGAGTTAGAAGCGATTCACAGTGTTAACGGCACCAGTAGCACTCTAAGCAGACCCCTCCCTCAATCTACCTCGCCCCATGCCTTCCTTCCTTCCCCACTCCCTCCCTTCCCGTCTTCCCTTCTCCCCTTCCCAAATTGAAGGTTAAGACGAAGGTGAAAGCACCAGCAGCACTCCAAGCGGACCCCCCCCCCTCACTCTTACTCCCGCCCCCTTCCCCATTCCTCCCTCCCCCCCTTCTCCCCCTCACAGAATGAAGGTGAAGACCAAGGAAGAGCGGCGGCAGGCCCGTCAAGAGCTGGAATCCGGGATCCACCTGGTCAAGGCACCAGCAGCACTCCAAGCGGACCCCTCCCTCACCCTACCGAAGCCCCTGGAAACCCTCTCAGCCTCTGTGGCAGTGCAAGCAGCGAAGGAGAAGGCGATCGCAGTGAGCATGGATGTGGGGGAGGAGGTGGGGGAGGAGCGGGCGGCGGCAGTGTCCAAGGCAGAGGGGGCAGTGGAGAGGAAGCTGAAGAGCAAGATGAAGGTGAAGGTGGGGCGGGCGAAGACCGCTGTGATGGACGCACCAATGGGGATGGAGGACTGACGGGAGGGAGGAGGGTGTCACTGGTGGGGCCAAGTTTGAAAGTAGGGGCCATCAGCAGGAGCATCAGCAGCAGCAGAGGGGGCTGTAGAGAGGGAGTTGAAGAGCAAGATGAAGGTGTAGGTGGGGCGGGCAAAGACTGCTGTGATGGACGCACCGATGCGGATGGAGGACTGAGGGGGGGGGTTGTTTGTGTGGTGGTGGGGAGGAGGGGGCAGCAGCAGCAGAGGGTCCAGCAGCAGCAGCAGTGGCGAAGGTAGAGAGGGCGGTGTGCTGGTATGTGAGATTGACGAGAGGGGTATGTACGTGGGATGGGTGGGCTGGCTTTACAAGTCTTACATGTGTTACAGAAGCATGCTGATGGCAAATTCCACTTTGCAATAAATGGATGGGACAAAATGGTGCGGAGCTTTTGTAAATTTTCTGCCTACCCACCTGTACTGTAAATGATTTTGTTCCTGAGTAGTAGACTGAACAACACCCAGAAGAATGAGATGTGGTCGTTCTCTTTGTTAAAATAAGCTAGGACCTAGGTAGGAGGGAAGCAGGCCCCCAAATTGCAGACTTTTTACTCTGATTCAGACTTTTTTCAGAGTTTTTTTGGGGGTGTACTCTGATTGGGAAGACTTTTTTTTGTACCTTATATCAGAATTGAGAGTTGAATGTTAGATAGAAAGAGAGTACACAAGGATATACCTCAGGGTTGTACCCTCTAAGAGACTACCCTATACAGTCTATACAAACATGACAAGTACACATGTTTGACACACCCCCTAGACTGCATAGGGGAATGTCCTAAACAAGCAGCTCAGGGCGGCACTACTAGTCCAACCTCTGAGACAAGGGTCTGAGAGACCAGTCAGAAGGAGTACAGACAAGGCAAGAGCAAGAGCAGGGCGGCACTACTAGTCCAGCCACTGGGAGAGGACACAAGTCCAGTCTGAGTATACATATAAAGGACAACACAAAGTCAAGGTCCTAGCAAGTGAGAGGCTACAGGAACTAGACCAAGCTGTACACAGTGCCGCTGATGATCTTTAGGCGCAAGCGCCTTCGTAAAGATATCAGCTGTGTTGGCACCTCAGGCCAAGTGTACTACGCGAGCCTGACGCCGCTGCTGTAGCTCACGCAGGAGGAAGTACCGCAGCTGAATGTGCTTCGCTCTGCCCTCGAGTCGAGGCTCCTGACACAGGAGGATCATGGCCCTGTTGTCAGCGAACAGGACCGGGGCAGAGCTAGGCCGCTCACCTAAGTCAGTGAGCAAGAAGGTCAGCCAGCGGAGCTCCTGTGCCGCCATGGCACCAGCGTAGATCTCAGCCTCACAGCTGGACTGCGCCACAGATGAGGAGCGGGTAGCTCTCCACGAGACGGCACCTGAGCCAAGGCTGAAGCAGTAGCCCTAGGTAGACCTGAGTGTCTCGGCGTCGTCTGCCCACGAAGCGTCTGTGTGTCCAGTAAGGACCACTGGCCTGCGTCCTCCTAGCACTAACCCCATGCCCGATGTACTAGCAAGATAACGCAGAACCCTCTTAGCGGCAGACCAGTGCTGCGGTCGGTGTCTGCCTGTGGCCACAAAACGAGCCAGGATGCTGAGAGGGTATGCGAGATCTGGGCGAGTGCAAGTCATCAGGTACATGAGGCAACCCACCAGCTCTGCGTAGGGGCCGCTGGGCTCTACCAACTCCTCAGACACTGGAGCGGAGAGCCTCTGGTCTACAGGCAGAGGGGTGGGCTGTGTAGAGGAGAACTGAAGGCTGAACCTCTGAAGGACCTGGCGCACCAAGTGTGACTGAGTCAGGGTGATGGTGCGCGCAGCTCTGTCCCTGGAGATCTGCAGGCCAAGGTAACGGCGCAGTTCTCCAAGGTCAGTGCAGGTGTGTCTCTTCAGCAGCTCTGCCTTCACAGAGGCCAGTGCGTCCCTGTCTGCTGTGGCAAAGACCAGGTCGTCGACGTAAACAAGGATGTAGAACGGGGTCTGGCCAGCACGAACGAAGAGTGAAGGGTCTGCGGAAGACGGAAAGAACTGCAGGTCAGCAAGCGTAGCACGGAGAGTGTCGTGCCACTCACGGGGAGCCTGGCGCAGGCCGTAGACGGGGCGTCGCAGGAGCCACTGGGTCCCAGGAGGGAAGGTGCCAGTAAAGCCCGGAGGGCGACGTAGGTAGACCTGCTCGTGTAGGCTGCCCTGAAGGAAGGCAGTGGAGAAGTCGAGGGAGTGAAGCTCGTAGTCACGCTGAGCAGCTAGGTGTAACAGAATCCGAAGAGTAGTCATCTTCGGGGTCGGAGCGAAGGTCTGGAAGAAGTCCACCCCCTCGCGCTGACTGAAGCCTCTAGCCACATAGCGCGCCTTGAAGACAGGCGGCTCTCCAGGAGGGCGCTTCACCTTGAAGAGCCAGCGGCCATCGACTACGTTCACCCCAGGCGGGGGAACTGCGTTGACGAAGGTGTCGGTGGATCTCCAAGATGCCATCTCCTGCTCCATGGCAGCTATCCACTGAGAGGCCCAGGGTCCCGAGGTGGCCTCAGCGTAAGTGCGAGGGGTCGGGATGTCGAAAGCGTCTGGGTCACCCTCAGGGACTAGCAGCATGGAACAGAGATGGGGAGCAGCCTCGGAGAGGAAAGCAAGCTCGAACTGGCGGTCCTCCAGGACGTCACTGCCAAGGGCAGGAGCACCCCCGACAGACGGAGGACAGGCAGGGTCAGAGACCAGAGCGGAGGCATAGTCAAGGCGGCGGGTAGAGGCGAAATCAGCGACAGCAGCGACAAGAGCGGCAAGGCACGAGACCGGAACAGACGGGTCGGTAACGAGAGAGGCAAGGACCCGAGGAACAAGGGGACGAGCGGCACGAAGGCGAGGCAGCGCAGGATGGGCGAGGCAGGATAGGGTGGGAGCGCAGGATAGGCGAGGCAGGACGAGCACGGGAGGGACGGTGAGACCAGATGTGCGACGGAGGAGTCGGGTCAGGGGACAGGGGAGGGGACACAGGAGGGGAAAGAGGGGGGAGACAGGCCGGGGACGAGTCCGGCGGAGGGAAAACAGGGCCGTAGACAGGAAGAGGAGGAGACGGCAGGAGAGGAACAGACGCAGGGTCGGGGGACGGAAGGCCGAGCAGGCGAAGGGCTGACACCGGCGGGGACTGCTGCTGCGGCGGCACAACAGCGAAACCTGGACCGCAAGCTGCTCCGCGGCTACCACCGGCACTCTCCACACCAGCACCCCCAGAGGGACCACCCCCAGTGCTACAGGGACGAGCACCCCCAGAGTCAGCGAACGGGTGCTGCGACGGCGGCGGCGGCGGCGGCGGCAACGACGGCTGCAGCGGCGGCAGAGGCGGTGGAGGAGGGGACTGGGGAGGGGACGCCAGGGGAGGGGCGGCTCACGAGGACTGCACAGGAGGGCCACCAGAGTCAGAAGACTCCTCAAGCGGGTCCACCGACGGAAGGGGGGTGACGTGGGACACACCAGAGGGGGCAGGACGGGGAGGAGGAGGAGGAGGGGCAGGGACTACCGGGGAAGGAGGGACCAGGAACAGGGGGGGGGTAACCGGGGGACCACGGTGGGGGAAGCGACGGTAGTAGGAGACGGACTCGTCAAAGGTGACGTCACGAGAGTGAAAGAAGCGGTGAGACGGCGGGTGGTAAAAGTGCCAGTCGGACGAGTCAAGGGGAAAACCAAGGAAGACGCAGGGAAGGGTGCGGGCAGTGAGCTTGTCCGTGCCGGAGGCACGGACGTGAGCAAGGCAGCCCCAGACGTGGAACACAGACGCGTCACCAGGAGACCCAGTCCAAAGACGGGTCGGCGAAACCTGCGGCTGCTGAGGGTGCGGCCACAAGTTAAGCTGGTGGGAAGCGTAGCGCACAGCGAACGGCCACAGAAAATGGGGGGCACCGGCATGGACCATGGAGGTGCGGGCCACCTCCATGACCAAACCGATGCGTCGCTCAGCGACCCCATTCTGCTGTGGGGAGTCCGGTAGGGTGAACGTCTGGGTGATGCCCTCCGCACGACAAAAGCGACCAAGGACACGTGAGGCAAACTCGCCACCACGGTCTGAGTGAAGACGCAAGATAGGGAGACCGCGGTGGACACGCGCAGAGACAAGCCAGGGGATGAGAGCGCCAGGCACGTCGGCCTTGCGCTCCAGGGGAAAGACTGTGGTGTAACGAGTGAAGTCGTCGACAAGCACAAGGAAGTAGCGCTCTCGACGCGGCCCAGGGACGGGGGCGGGGCCCCAGACGTCCAGGTGCAGGGTCTGCAGCGGCGCGGCGGTAGGGGGAAACGAGGAGGAGTGAGGGGCACGGCGAAGCCGACCCTCGACGCAAGGCGTGCAAGGTGGGGCTGGGGAGGAGGGAAACGCGGGGAGAGAACCTGGGAGACCAAGGACAAGACCGTGCTGGGACATGTGACGCATACGCGGGAGCGCAGGGTGACCTAGGCGGTGGTGCCAAAGGAGGGTCGGGTGAGTGAGGGACCGACAGGAGCAGGCAGCAGCAACCTGGGGGAGCGCTCCAGCCGGGGGGGTCACGGTGTCCAGAGTGAACAGGCCGGACACCGGGTCCCGGGGGAACGTGGACAGGGGGGCACCGATGGCGGCCTCGGTACAGACAGCATACCGCTCGTGACCAGGGAACGTAGTGGTGACGCCAAGGTCCTGGAGGCAGCCGACACCAACTAGGTTCCTGGAGAACGAGGGGATATGCAGACCTGTAAGAGTGCCCGAAGGAACCGCCGGACAGGGAAGGGTGGTGGAACTGCGGGCGACTACCGGACCGCCGGAGGGGTCAGCAAGAGAAATGGCAGCAGGGACAGGAAGCGGCGTCAGGGTGGTGGAGTCGCGGAAGAAACACCGAGAAGCGCCAGAGTCCAAGGTGAAGGAAAGCGAAGCAGAGGCGTCTGGCGACGGAACGACGGCGGAAGCACCAAGACTATACAAAGCAGAGGATCCTACGCCTGACGCAGCAGGGGAGGGTACGCTAGGCACACCTACACTAGGCAACAGTGAGTAGTAAGCTGGAAGCACACTAGAGTCATCAGCATACATCACATGCAGAGCAGAAACAATGGCATCCATGTCCATATCAAAGATCTGAATCTGACGACTAAGCAAACTGTGCCAGTCCGGGAGGTCTGGCGACGGGCCGAAGCGCTGACGAAAGAGGTCGTCCAGGCGACGAAAACAGCGGGGAGTGGAGTGACCGATCTTACCGCAAACGAAGCCGCGGCGAGGACCGGTCTGGATCTGGTACTGACAGCGCCCGCCGCCACTCGACACACCACCACGCGACCGGCCACCGCCAGCGCCGGGCCACCCGGGCGGGAGGACACTCGTCTGCCGCGTCTGCGACTGCTGCTGCGGCTGCTGCGAAGGCTGCGACTGCGGCGGCTGCTGCGGTTGCTGCAACGGCAGGGGCGGCGACTCAGCTGGACTGGCCAGGGTCCCCTCGTCCGCTCCAGCACCAGACGACCCGACCCCACCACTTCCCCCGCCCGCACCCCCGCCGCCGCCTCCGCCGCGCCAAACCTTGGGGCGGCGCCCCTTCCCCGAACGAAACTCCGCTGCAGCAGCAGTCTCAGCCACGGCGACAGAGCCGTCGGAGAAGGTACACTGGGCGGGGGCACAACCCTGAAAG